GGTGTGCTTTCCGCACTGCGGTGGTGGTCTTGCTTCTTCTTTTCCTGAGTAAACGTTTTCTTTGTGGATTACTTGGAGAGTTATTTTTCGCCAGTCAACAAGGGAACACAAGCATGCAGTCCATATCACCTGTGTTATATGACCTGTGTAAGGTTCTTGAGGTGTTCGGGTTTCAGGTGGTATGTGGGCGATTTGGTGACTGTATTAAAAACAAAAACAAAAATCCTTATTCAGGTTCTGTGAGTTGTTCCATGTAGGTGAAATTACTATAAACGGATTTGATAAAACTGGAATTTTTAAATAATTATTTTCTCCTATCCTTCCTCGCAGTGAAAGCTTTGTCACTGAGTTTCCTTGGAGGAAAGGGACCAGCTTGTACTGGGACTCATCAAGGTTGGCTAGAGCCAGCTGGGGTCTTTCACCAGGTGTCCTAAACAGCAGAGTACCTTGGTGTGTCATGGTCATGCATGAGCCATGTTATACATAACACTATACAATGCATATGCACCTGATTCTCTTTGGTAAAGCAGTCACCTCAATAGCATTATTCTCACCGCTCATATTCCAAAATGCTGTCTGGAATGCCAGGCAGTGGACATACCCTCAATTGCACACAACCATTGCATATACTGCCCAGTCTTCGCTAGCAATGAGCCGTTCTTACCAATATACCAGTCAGAGTCTTGGGGCTTAAAAATTGATTTAGAGTCTTTGTGGTATGATATTGTAGAGCCTTTTGTGTGCTTTTTAATTTTATCCATGAATAAAATTTTAGTAAGGAAGGAACCAAGAAGATGAGATGATGAAAACACCCCAAGGGGTGTGAGATGTTGTGTGAGGGTGTGAGCACCCTCCCATTGGGGTGAACTAATTTTTGTAACTGTTGACATCTTAAAAGGCTTATCAAATATCAGTTGAGTAATTTGTGCATGCCTGAGCACTGAGCTGACACCTTCTGTGTGTTGTCACTAATTAACCTTCATGTCAACCCCAGGAGGTGGGTATAACTGTTTCCCCAGTTCTCAGTAGGATCAGAGCCCTTCGTGATAGAGCCAGAATTCAGACTCGTCGGCCAGAAACTGGGGCTTGAGCTTGTAACCGCTTGAGCTTGTAATCAGGACTATACTGAAGCCTAAGTTAAATTATACTCGTTCTGCCACAATATAAAATTAAAACATCAAAGTCCTTTTCCAAGGAGAAATGTAACTTGTGTTCCCTATAATCACACTGCTTTGGAAAATGGATCCTAATACTAGGAAGCCAGATCATGGTGTCGTTGAAGACCAGACTTAGTGTCTTAGGCATTGATTGCTTTTTTTACTTCCGCCAACCAACAGGCTTGATTCCAGAGCCTTCTGAGTCCTGGGTCTTGTGACAGGAAAGGTTGCTGTGTCTCCACTACAGGAACTCTTTTCCTGCCCCAGCTACTGCAGGCACATAGTCTGTCCTCTCGCCTGCTCTCTCTCCCTGCCTGTTATGGCAGCAGTCATGTCACATTTTAACCACAAGGGGCAGGAGTGTTCTAAAGAATCACCCCCATAAGTGTACTTTCAAAAGCCTAATATAAAATTAATTCACTTAAAATTTCAAAGTAAGTATGGGGGAAAGGGGACTTGATTAGAATTTTACCTTGAAAAACAATACTAAAAATTATAAACATAAGCTTAGTTTATCTTTTGACTAACAACATGTAGGTTATAATTCCAACTATACACGAATTCTTAGAACAGAGAAGTATTGATTTGCGGAGTTGTAATTTAAAAAAAAAAAGTCATTTACTGAGTGCCTACTGTTTATGGGACCTAAGGCTAGGTACTTGGCTTACAAAGATGAATAAGAGAAGATCCTTCCCAAAGAACTCTTGGGGGAGGGCAGACATACACAGACACAGATCATTACAAAACATGGCACATGCCGGCCATCAGGACAGAATGTACCATGAACACAGTGAGAAAGCTTCAGCAAGATGTGCGCTTTTGAATTATGCATTGAACGTAGGAGAGAATGAGGGAGAGCTCTCTGGGTGGAGGTAATTAACTGCACATGCAAATGGAAGGAAACATGAATGAGCTCATTTGTGTGCAGAAGGCTAGAGCATCCGTTGTCTGAGGGGAAAGGGGCCCTGATAAAGGTTGGTGTGGGCCCCACAAGAGCCTCCGTGAGAGCAGTTCTTATGGAAGTCACATTTATGTCTCCAATGTTCCGTGATGCGTGCCCAGCACTGGTCACTTAGGCCGACCGTAGGGTCTGACCTGCCGCTTTCACATCCCAGCCCACTGTGTGCATAACCTGCCTTCTCACATCATCCTGAGATGATCTGGTGCCCATGGCATTGCAAAGAATCCATTTTTAGAAGATTTGCAACAGAAAATAGTTAGACAAAGAAATAGGAACTGTGGGACTCTCGGGAGGGTTGTTGCTTTTTTTAAATGAAGGTGTCACACTGCTTTCAAACCAAATAAATACAGAAAAACCAGCCCCACTAGCTTCCTCAGGGACTAAACCCTTAAAATATTTGTGACAGAGAAAACTAATTGGAAACATAGAGAGATGTAAATATCTAAGGAAGCTTTTCAAATTTGAAAACTTGGGACGTTTTAAAGGCATCAAATTCTCAAGAAGGCTTTACTACATTAATTTTGAGTAGGGCAAACATGGAGCTAACTCCACAAGTACGCACCAGTTCTCTTGGATGCCAAATGAAAAGTTCTGTTCTTTGTAAAGGCATGCAGGGCTATTTTCTTGTATCTAGAGGCTGTGGAGCCTGGGTACTTTATGTCTGCTGTTACCCCGTTCCGGTCCTCTTGGCTTTACTGCAGAGCAGCTGATTTCTGCATGTGAACATTTTAGAGGCTCAGTGGTCCTCACCTGCCTGCTCAGAATCAGGCATATGGGCTCATGGGAAACAAATCCAGGCTTCACAGCAACAGGCCAGAACCATATAATGTCTCCGTGGGAAGAATACCACATTGCACCACATCCTCTTTGAATTCATTTGGCGCCCCCTGTGTTTTCTGTGATTCAGACTTTTTGAAAAAGATTTATTTATTTATTTTTTATGATTTCACATACTGCTTACTGAGGTCCCCGTTGTATGTTAGCATGTCCCCTCCCCTCCTCAGCACCACTGCTTTGTGGAACCTCCTTCCTTTCCACACAGAGCTATTTTACTGATGTCTCTCTCTCTGCCTCAGCTTCCCGAAGGGGCCCAGTCCTGTGAGATCAGATGAGATTCAAGATGTTATTTTGATTTTTGCTTACCTCCCCTCACTCACCTCCCCACACTTCCTCAGAGAATAGATCCTTGTGTGGGTTCTATTTTATGTCCACTATCAAACGTCACCAACACACTGTGAAGCAGTACATTCTTACTCTCAGGGGACCATCGCTGTAGAATTCTTCAGCATTCCTGTGACTCACCTGAAGAGTCTCTTCGTCACCCAAGATTTCAGGAGCATACAGAAATGTTCGGGTATTGACTCACATGGTTTTCCAGAGCTGGATTAGTCCCATCCCTGAGCTTGCTTGCTTTCTTTTGTCTTTCATTAAGCGAGTATTTATGAAGCACTTGCCGTGTGTCAGGCACTGGCCTGGAATGTCATATTTCCAGGAGGGCCTGTTTGTGCAAGGAGCCCGAGCCCATCACCTGAGGCAGTAGCACACCTGATGGGAAACATACTCCCCGAAACTATTTTTCTTAATCTTTTTTTTTTAATTAAAGATTTTCTTAATTTTTAAATTATTGTCAAGACACAATATTAGTTTAGGTGTATAACGTAGTGATTCAACGTTTGTATACCTTACAAAGTGATCACCACAATAAGTCTAGTAGCCATCTGTCACCATACATAGTTATTGCGATATTATTAACTACATTCCCTGTTCTGTACATTATATCCCCATGACTTACTTTATAACTGGCAATTTGTGCATCTTAATTCCTTTCCATTTTTCTACCCATTCCCTCACTCCCCTCCCCTCTGGCAACCATCAGTTTGCTCTCTGTATCCAGGAGTTTGTTTCTACTTGGTTTGTTCATTTATTTTGTTCTTTAGATTCCACATGTAAGTGAGAGTATACAGTATTTGTCTTTCTCTGTCTGACTTATTTCACTTAGCGTAATACTCTTTAGGTACATCTGTGTCATTGCAAATGACAAGATTTCTTTTTTATGGCTGAGTAATATTCCCTTGTGTGTATATACCACATCTTCTTTATCCAGTGAACACCTAGGTTGCTTCCATATCTTGGCTGTGATAAATAATGCTGCAATGAACATAGTGGTGCATACGTATTTTAGAATTAGCATTTTTGCTTTGTTTGGATTAATACCCAGACATGGAATTGCTTTAAATATGTCATTTAACAAGTAATGTTTAAACTTTTCTGAGAACAGGCAAGGTAACGTTGTTTGGATGCTGAAATTTCTCTGACTTTTCAGTAGCCTGTGGATTAAATCAGACAAGATACTTGAAATCTGAACCGACGAGGAAAATATAAGTGATACGGTTTCCAGTCATAAAAGTCAATCCCAGCTGCCTCTTTAAAAAATACGTGTTGTAATTTTTACTTTCCCATTATGGGAAAGTAGGTGATTTTATGACATTTATTACCCAAAGTCTTTCTATCCTTCAATAAGAAAAATTTTTTTTAAAGCACAAACATTTGTGTATCACCACTAGTTTTATTCATCCAGTACTTTAAGTTTGACATTTAACTTTTACTACATATAAATTAAACTGCTCTATGTTGGCCTGAGGGTTGGGGAACTGAGCTCCAAGTGCTCCTTTGAAAACATGGCAGAAATTTCAAAGAAAGCTTGACAAACTGGAGCATTCTCAGATGTATAGTTGGCAGCTCTTTTCCAGGGAAGCTTTCTCCCCGCTGAAACAGTTCTTCAGCTGTGTGCAGCTTTCTCCTCTCTCTTCTGCCCCTGCCCTGGCTGGGTGCTCACCCTGTGCTCCAGGTTCTCACTACATTATTTCCTTGCTGTGTTCCAGTCTCCATCTCCCGGCAGCTCCTCGCCCCTGGGTGCAGAGTCTTCGAGTACACCCCTTCCTCCTAGTGACCCCGCGGAAGCATCCACGAACAAAGAGGTAGGTAGGATGCCATTTTGTTTCAAAAGCCCATTTTCTTCCCTTCTAATTCTAGTTTATGCTTTCTCCGGCCTCCCACAGAGCTTCTGTCCCAAAGTACCCTGGGGAGACAAATTCTGTTTTCTCCTAGCCAGTGTGGAATTCGGTGATTAAAGCTGCCACATCCAATTTGGTAGCCAGTAGCCACAGGTGTCTATTTCAATTAGTAAATAAAATGAAAAACTCACTTCCTCAGGCATAGGAGCCACATTTCAAGTGCTCAGTAGCCACATGTGACCAGTGGTTACTGTATTGGACATGGGAGATTACAGAGCATTTCCACCAATACAGGAAGTCCTCTTGGACAGTGCTAGCTATTGACATCCCAAACTCTGTGTAGCTGCATCCTCCTTTATGGTGTTAGAAGCCTCGGGCACCGTGGATTTACAGTTGCTAGGTGGTTTGGGAAATGGGTTATTTAAATACCCATTTATTTCAGGCCCAAGTGAAATCCCTTTCATGATGACAGGGTGACCACTCGTCCTGCTTTACGTGCAGTTCGCACCTGTTGTCCAACAACACAGCTGACAAGCACCCCTTCTCTCTTAAGCAACACTGTCCAGAGAACAAACCACAATGATGGGAAAGTTCTACTTCTAGACTATCCTCCATGGTGGTCACCAGCCTCGTGTGACCAGCAAGCCCTTGACATGTGGCTGGTGGGACTGAGGACCTGACATTTTCATTTTATTCAATTTCAGTTAACTTCAGCAACCCGGTGCAGCAAAGGGCTCCTGGACAGTGCAGCCCTAACGTGTCCTTTGGGACAGCAAATCATACTGTTGCCCTACTTAAGGAGGCCATCCTGAGCTCTGGCAGAGAAAATCTAAGCGAGACGATGCTGCTAGCTCCCCCTGAGGTTTCTAGGGCTAAAAAGGGCAGATGTTTTTCCCTGAGGGAAGCCACTGCCTTCTCCAACACTGTCATCTTTTTTACACCCAGCTAACTGCCACCCCCATCTCTTTATGAACCAGAATCAGGTAAATATTGACCTGTGTCGTGACCTCTGTGTGGGCTCAGCTTGCTGTGTAATCAACAGTGAGGGTGCGCATTAGGGCAGTAAGCCACCTAATGAACGATTGTCTCCTTTTCCCTCCTCTTGCGAATAATTTTTATGTGAAGTTTAATGGAAGAAAGCAATCTCCATTTTAAAATGAGTGGCAGCTCACTTCTAACAGGAGCCTTAGTTGAAATTTACCTTTAAAGTATCATTGAATACACATACATTCGCCATTAAATATTCATGCAAGGGAGAAGTAGATTTTTATATTAATCTGTTCATATTAAACCAAACAAACATAAGGAGACTTTCTCTGAAACACCACCATTAGAATTTAGAATTGAAACATGCTTTGTCTTCCCCTGGACTTGACCCTCAGACCCTAGGCCGCAGGAGCAGGGCTAATGGGGTCACAGTTTCTGCTGCCCCTGTATCCCCCAGCTTTGCCTTATACTTTATTCATAGTGCACGGAGAGGTGAGAACAAATAGCAAGAAGAAAAGAGTGGCGACCACCGTGATAATAACAGTAATGAGACTTACCATGTCTTGAGCATTTGCTGTGTGCAGGCACTGCGCCAAACAAATCACAGATAGTGTCTCATTTTAATCCTTACAATCATTCTGTGGGGTAAGAACTATTGTCCTCGTGTGTTAGTTGAGGAAGCTGAGAGATTGAATAACTTCCCTGATGTCCCAGGCCTCACAACTCATTGGGCTAGGATTTGAATCCAGAGAGGATGTGGGCCGAGGCTCTTAAACCCCAAATCCGCTGTGCTTGGGGGTGAAAAGTCCACACCCTGCGTGGACAAGGTAGCTTGTGTGTCATTATTCCAGTTGTCAGGCCTCCGGGTACTGCATATGGTTAGTGTGACCTCCTAGAAAATCCCAAAGGTTTTGGCCTTTGTCTTCTTCAACGTGGCTTCATTAATTGTTGAATGTTAAGTACCAACCAAGGTTCATCTCTGTCCACATGTGAGAAAACAAAAGGCTAATCAGACATCTGAATGTTCAACATTTGATTATTCATCAGATATAATAAGCAAGGCAAATTTGTTAGTTTCTCAATTCCTACAGGACTTGGCACATGTTTCTGCATATCCTTAGAAATAATGATGAAATCCTCTTTGTGTGCAATAATTAGAGATTCTTTCATTTCACAAAACTCACTGAAAAAAAAAAATTACTACCCCAGAGACTAAAGAAAGCCAGTCATGAGCTCATGAATAGAGAATAAGTGAAAGTCCCAAATGCCCTCCATTGTGGCTCTAAATAAAATGGCAGTTTTTAGAGCATTGGAAGTAGTTCTTCTGTAGCTTCTGCTAAAATCTGGACCCTGTCCTTGAGATTAGCATTCAGAAGAGTATCCCAATAGCTCAAGGAAATCTGAATAGGCTTCTTGGGTTTACCTAGAGGCTTAACCATTTCGATTAAACAAAGTAAACCTTTATTACCCCAGGCCCCTAGTAGCTGAGGACAAAGACAGAGACGGTTGAGGAATAATAATTTTAAAACCTTTGGCCTTATGAAGAAGCTAGCGTCCATCTGCATACCCTGAAGTTATGGACTGGTTTTCTTTAAACCAACCAGAATTAGACAGGCTTGGCTGTTGGCATTCAGCTAGGCCTGTCTTCTCACTTGGATAAATAGAAAGTAGAATTAATGGAAAGCACTACTGAAATTGTCATTCTCTCCTCCTATCCACATATCTTGGCTTTCACTTGGTGTGCATTTTTCCATGAATTCATTAGTACCCAATAACCTTTTATTCCTGGTGGACTTATGTCTTTAGTTTCTTTAAAAGTGATCCTTTCTGAAACCAGAACCCCACCCTCTTCGGTGTGAGGAACCATTTCATCCCAGTGAACCCATCGGCAGCAGGTTTACTGAAAGGCTGCCCTGCGCAGTATGCGGTGTGCTTAGTGTTTGAATTCTTGTCATTGTCCTGAATTGAGTTAGGTTCCTAAAATTAGATAGCTTCAACTGCCTCCAATTTTCACATAGCAGTGAACACTACTGTTTTTAGAATGTTGTGCAAGTATTGACTAATTAATCATTCCTTTGCTATCCCCATCTTCCAAGTGAAGAACACTGTATAAAGTACTATATGGAATTGTTTCGCATGACATCTCAGCTCGCATGCAGGGCCCGTCACGCTTCCACTCCACCAGGCTTCTCAGAGTGTACCCTCAATTCAAGTCAACCTCTTAATCAGCTGTGCTGTACTAGATACCTTTCTTCTAAAAATGATAGAAATGATCACCTAACACCTGGTTGATTCTTAGTGATGAAAACCTTTAGGCTTTCTGAGGATAACCCTTGGCCATGCAATCCCTACTTTTTGCCCATTTTAGGGACTCTTGTCTTTGACATTAGCTCTTCACTCTCCTGTAATGCTCACATCACCCTGCCCCAGACAGGTCAGCTATAAATTCCATTACTGGTTGAAGCAGTAAGGAATTTCCTACTCTTAGGCCACTCAGAGTTATCTCTAGGGCATTCACTTGTGAAAGGAACCAAATGGTAAGTATTGCTTCTCTGAGAGCCAGCATTTGAACTACCAGTCAGGTTCTAGAAGGTTTCTAGTTGATCATATTCATTTCCAATGGATATGACCTTTTCTCCAAGGTGTTACCTAATATAAGAAATTCCAGGGTGTTTAATTTACTTCTTTGTTTGTTGTGACCTTATTTTGAAGTAGCACATGATACTTATATATATAATGGAATCTTTGAACTAAAATAAATCAGTAATAAATGAAAGGAAAAGATAAAAACTCTAGCCAACATTTTTAGCACAGTGAGAGATCACTGCGAGCAAAGACCTAAAGGGAAGTAAAATTCCCCCTAGGAAATTCTTAATTTCAACATACAATCATATTGTTGGTGCTTTTATTAATCAGCAGTTTTTCACTTAGAAACCCAGATTCTTAAGAATACAAACCGAGCCCTTTGCATTGCTATTGTGAATTATGAATTTTGTTCCGTGGGATATTTTTTAAGCTGACAGATATTTCTCTGATTGTAGAATGTAGGATTTTCAGATTATCTAAAATATGAATGGATGGTTCTGGGCTTTGGGTTAACCTTTAATAAGAAATGCATATGTTTATTTACACTTTACTTTCTGTAACCAAAAATGGTTGCCAACGGCTTAACATCTGCCATTGGTAATATATTACTTCTCACGTTGCATGGATGGTTGTGTTAATGCATTTTTCGTCATGCTTTGCCCTTTCTGAAACCTCTTTGTCTTCATTACAGTCAAGAAAAAGCTTGGCTTCATTCCCAACCTACGTTGAAGGTAAGAGCTGAAAAGGAAATAGTGAGCACTGAGTCGTTCATGAATCTTTTAGCATTTTGAGTATTTGAAGCCCTGGGCTGGAATACGGCAGAGGAGAAGAACGGCCAGAGTCACTTAATTCACAGTCTTAACAGTCTTAGAATCGTAGACCAAAAGAACAATAGCTGTACGCCTCTCCAAGGGCCTCCTCCCTGCCTTTGCTGATCCTGTCCGTGAGAGCCTGAGGCTGGGGCGGGGGACTTTGCCCAGCTTGGTCATGGTCAACTTGGATCCGAAACCCAAGTCTCTTTACTTGTATTCCAGAATACCTCTTATATCCATCAAGGGCTATTGAAGTGGGGATGAGCTTTAACTAAGGGAGAAAGTTTGGTCGTCTTCGCTTAAAAGAAATTTTTAAAAAGACCTTCTCAGTTATTCCCGTCTCTTGCTCTCTTGCTTGGATGAGCTGGTTAGTACTAGTAATATTTATAGGCTCTTACTCTTTGCCAGGTCCTGTTCTAAGCACCTTCCATGTGATAACTAATTGAATCCTCACATCAATCTTATGAACTAAGTTTTTATTATGTTCCCCATGTTAGGCATGAGAGGACTGAGGCATCGAAGGGGTGAGCAACGTTCCCAAGATCACACAGTTAGCAAGTAGCAGAGCCAGGCCGTGAACCGGCCGTCTGACTCCAAAATTCTCTCTGTATTCAATGCAAGGCTGCCGCACACAGTTGTGCAGGTTATTCAAAGCACAAGGACACCCAGACACCAGTGAGGCCAAAACTCAGCCCAAGCTAGGTACCCCAGGTTGAGGTCAGGCCACACAAATGGAGCACCTGTTTGTCATTCATACAAAGGCATTCCCTAGCTAGAGGTGACACTAATCCTCTACCACGAGGGTAGACTGGATTGTCATTTCCGTGAAGCAGGATTTTTCTGGAGGCCGAGGCATCAAGTTGAGGCCCTGTCTGGCCTTTGGACCCTGTGAGTAAACAGTCGGTGTGTTCCGCTGCTTGGGAATGACTTATCAGGATTCCTAAACCTTCACAAACCTTTGAGACCGAAGTCCAGGGCAAGCTCCAGTTTGGTTCAGTTACTCGGGTTTCTTTCTTGAGTGACCTATAAATTATTTTCACCATTTTTGTGAAGGTCCAGAATTCCATGAGAGCACCTCGGGGTGTTTTCAGAAGTTTGGAAACTCTGTTCTCCTTTTCCCATCCTTCAGGCTCGGTATTAACATGAGGGTGAGGATATAGGGTGTGTGCTTCTTCACCCGCAGGGCAACACAGAGGCATCGCTGAAAGGAAGAACACATCCCAAAAGGCCAGAACGAAACCTGCGATCTTTGACTTAAGACCATTATAACTTTAATTTTTTTTTTACTTTTTAATAATACACTAACATCTGAGCCTAAAAAGAACTTATGATGTTAGGGCACTTTTTTTCAGGGTATGACACAGTGACAGTGACATTTAATTATAATCAATTTCCCTGGAGGATAAAGGGCATGAGATTATATCTCGAATGTATAATTTGTTTAGGTCCAATATTTCTGTCTCTGAGCTGCTTGATATTGACATAGTCATTTAAATATTACTTGGATTGCTCTTAAACATACCTACCTGCATATCCACACTTATTACAGTTGAAAAGAGACTCTTCAGTGAGTAGAGCTAAATCAGAGATGAATGTATGATATTGGAAGTCCTGTAGAGAGGTGGTTAACTTTCATTTTTCTTTGAACATTTTTTCATTTTCACAAAATAAATGAAACATTTTTAAAAGTTGCTATCCCAGGTGAGATCTTTTTTCTCAATACCTGGTTGGCAAAAAAATGATTATGTGTAAGTAACATTGTATACCCATCACAGGAATTTATAATAGAAGAATGATTATCTTTTACTTTTTAGAAAGCATAGCATAGGTCCAAACTTGTATATATGTTATTTTATTAGACTAGTGCTTCCCTGCTGTACAGCTTAACTATATATTGTAAATAATCTGATCCTTGTCACATCTATGAAAGTTTCAGAGCAGGAAGCATGTGGCTGTTGAGAAGAATGTAAATTACTAGTATGTAGTGGAGGCAGGTGTGGCTGTGTACCACTCACTGTTTGTCCAGAAATCGTTCCCGGAAAGACTGAGAATAAGAGAAATAACAGGTTTCCTTATTTCATTACCACACAGATGTTTTGTGAAGGCCTTTCCTAAAACATTGTTAATTTCTTTGTTTCAACCACCACCTAGGTTTTAGGGGGGAAAAATGAATAGATTTTATTTTAAATCTGTACCTCAATAAGTAGTTTATCATTGGAAGTGGCTATTTAAGCTCAAGGTGAACTTCCTGTTTAAGGATAAAAATTAAAACCATTTCAGATTATCTGTCCAGGAGGAAAAAGCAAATGTTTCCTTTACAGGGTATCTAATTTAAGACCCTGAAGTTGTAACTGTGGGTTAACGTGTATATTTTAGTTTCCCCAAATATGGCATGCATGCCAAAGAAGACCCCTGTTTTCATTGCAGAATTAGAATGCCATTCTTAGTGCGTGTGTTGTAAGGTTATGTATTAGTCCCAGATGTGTTTTAATTTCAAGGTGAGTTTACAGGTGATTATGGTTAGAATCAGATACCTCCCTTTAAAATATTTAAAACTCAGGTTAGATTTAAAAGGCTGATCAATGAAACAGAAATTCTGATTTTCCTTGAAATCGATCTGTATGTGGACGCGGGCTGGGAGCATTATGGCCTGTAAGTCAGCAAGGTTGGCAGGACGAGACCACAGCTTTGGGATAACATTATCTGTCTCCAGAATTGGAGTCAGAGGTTATTATGGGAATCCAGACATTCTGAAACAAATATTCCATTTTTTTCTAATTTATAAAATTTGTTTCCCCCATTATGGATACAATGGAGAGGGGGAGATAGGAATGGGTGGCAAGTCAGGGAACTGCTTATCTAACTAACCATTGGTCAGGCAAACGTTTATTTGATACCCACTGGGTGACAGATGCTAACAAGACACAAGAGAGCCATAGATGACTATGACATAGTTCTTTTCCCCAAAAAGCTTGGTCTAACGGCAGAAACAACATCCTTTATCACTGAATTCTATGTTTGGTATTTACATAAATATTCACATCATTTCTCACAGTAAATGGCATGGGTGAAATAAGTTACTCTAAGAAAAAATTGTTCCTTCTGTTTGAAGATGAAGGGTGAGTGAAGGTCGGCATGGCGAGATGCCTTAGACGAGCAGGTTGATGCAGCACTCAGGGGTCTTGGGTACTGGGCCCCCTGTGCCAGTGGTGAGCAGGGGGAGAGGTATTATGCCGGGGTTTGGCAGCACCCCACTCCGGGTGGTTTCACTCACCACTGTGGCTCTGTGTGTTACAGTTCCCGGACCTTGTGACCCTGAAGACTTAATTGATGGAATCATTTTTGCTGCCAATTACCTTGGCTCCACCCAACTGCTCTCAGACAAAACTCCCTCCAAAAACGTGCGCATGATGCAGGCCCAGGAAGCTGTGAGCAGGATCAAGGTGAGAGGGGGTATGTGCTCCATGGGGGTGGTGGGCAGAGGTGGGCACCTGAGCTGCCCATAGTGATCACCCCACACCTCATGTATCTAGTCCCGAATTTGGAGGAAAGTAGATTGGGATGACATCACAGGCAGTGCTTACATGGGTCTTGCTAAACAGCAAAATGATTTCCAAAGTGCACTGGAATCCTTATGTATAAATACCAGATATTTGGTTGTTCTTAATGGCCAGTCTTGAGGGAAAAGTACCTATGATCATAAACTTTGAGAAGTTCATATGATGAGGAAAATCATCTTGCGTATTATGTCTCCAGTGTGAGAGGTGTCACTGTCTTTCCACTGATAGCTGGAGATCCATGACTTAAACATTTCTTGTCACAGTGTGGTTCAAAGTAGGTCCCATTGCTTTCAGACAGGTTGATCCTGTTCAAGCTAAACTGACCTGGCTTGCTCCAGGTAAAACGAACCATTTCATCAGATCTAACCTGGCTGGTCTGAACAAGTCTGAGCCAGGCTAACCCAGTGTAAACTAGTTTGAGCCAATCAACCTAGAATGTGTTTTTAAGATTTAAAAGGAGTAAGCCTGTTTGATCCAGGAAAAACCACTTTCAACTAGTTTAAATCATCCACAACTTGTTTGAATCAGCCAGAACTGGTTTGATCCCATGGAAATGCAGTGCTTTAGAATCTCCATGAGACCAACACCACCTAGAATTATGGACAAAACCAGGACTACAGGAATACTTAAAGTGCCATCATGTCACTCAAGTGTCATTAAGTGCCACCAGCACCCAGACCATTGGGCAGCCACACTGGAGCCACAGGGAGATTTGAACCTTAGAACAAGGTATTTGAGGCAAGTTAGACTAGGTTAGGACACTTCAGAATTGGTTTTATCCAGTCACCTGGTCAAAATCAATTCCTTTCTCAACAAACCATTCCTTCTTTTGTATTTTCTCACTCACACATTCCCAAGTTTCATCCCGGTGTTTGTGTGACAATGTGGAATGAAAAAGACGCGCAGGTAGAAGGCAGTAACTGAGAGTTCTGAATCTCTCAATCAAGGAAAAAGTTTTCTTAAGCACTTGGGTGTTCAAGGCTGTGCAAGTTCTCGTGAAAGAAGGAAAACGGCAGTTTAGAAAGTGAGACCCATACCCTCAAACTCAGCAGTACAAATGAGAAATGAATGAAGCCAGAGAACGTGTGGGTGTACCTGAGGAGGAGAGAAGGGTGTCAGACGCTAAGTGCCGTAGGTATGCAGGGAAGCCCTGGACAGGTGAGATATCACCTGAGAGCTTGAAGGAAACAGTGGCAGCAATTCACAGAGGTTCTGCGAACACAGGCGGTGCTGGTTCCTGTGTTATTCCCACGCCCAGGCTCTGCCGTCGCAACTATTAAACAAGGCCATACTTCCATCGATGCCATAACTCTGATGGCTTTGAGCCCAGTTATTCTGCTGTGTCCCGGGTCCTGTGTGAATGTTCCCAGGCCCTCTCTCATTGCTTCCTCATTAAACTGCTCTCCATGGCTCCTGCCTCTGGGTCCTCCAACAGTCACTCGCTGCTCCTACAACCTCTCTATGCTTGGAGAAGGCACTCCCCTCCCAAGCTCAGCACTGACCCTTTCCTTAACTAGCCTTTAGAGTATAGTAAACCCATGCTGCAACTTTTGAAAATATGACTGAAGTTTTAGGAATTGGGATGTATAAACCAGAGAGTAATTTACAACTACATCATCGGTAGCCCCATGTCAAGATTACTGACAGGGGCCTATCAGTTTTTTCCATGTGTCAGAGACCCACTCCACCACTTCATCTGAGCTGCACAGATCTTATTTGTGCCTCAGAGACCCTGTGGCCACCAGGCCCGCTTCTGTGGTGTTCATGTATTCTCCTCCAAATTAGCCTCTCTCAGGATGATTGACAGTGGAAAGGTCCACTTCCTTCAAGGGAAGTCCCACCCCTATCCACAGAGATGCATCTTACCCTGTGTTTCCCAACAGGACAGCTCCATGAAAACATATCAGCCTGACCTTTACACCTGCTGGGTCTTTCAGATTCAGTGATGCTACTGGTAGGACATCAGGTTCCTGCTAAGCTGTCCATCCAAGCTTGACCTAATTCCTTTTCACTGTCATCTCTTTATCATAAAGAGGTGATGTTAATACTGCCAGGTCTTCCTACTGTCTTCTTCTTAATTTAGGATCCCCCAGGCACAGTGTTCAAAGCAAGAACACGTAAACCTCTCTGAGAGAACGAGCTGCTTCTCAGGCACCTTCCCGTCTTATTTTATCCAGAGCAGGTGAACTTTACAAACAAGGTCTTAGGGGTCATAGTTCTGACTCCTCGTGCCCCACAGTTACCATACACAGCACGTTATGATTGTGTTAAATTAATATCTGTTAAGTGGAGCCCGGGGGCTCCAGGTGATGAGCAAAAGACCACAGAGAAATTAAGATAAAGTTATTACTCACAGGTCCTGGAGGAAGTCCTAGAGGGGCCACACGGGGAGGTTAAGGGAAGGTGCAGGCAGAGAGAGAGGCAGGGCCTGGGGCACATGCCTTTAGTAGGGTCCATGAGGACAGCGCTTTGGGGTTACTGATCTAAGGCCAGATTGGTCAGTTGAAAAAGACATGGGATTTGGTAAGCTCCGTAGGGGTCTTATCTAAGGGGCACATGGGGGAGATTGTTGATCACAAGGGCTGCTGGGGGAGTCATAGCAGGCGCTTATATGTTTTTGTGACTGTATGGCTGCTATCTAGGACATGCACTTACATGAGGGGCTAGTGTCAGCTTAAGGTCCCCACAGGCTGCTTGGCCATTACTGAGGCCATTACTGAGGCAGCAAAACCACGGAGTAGCTTAGCTAAACTCTCAACACAGCACATAGTTCCCCAGGGTAATGGTGCCATTAGCTTCCCAGGGTCAATGGGAGTGCAAAGACCTGGCATGCCTCACTCACTGGCTCACTGGCAAACAGGGACCACCTCCAAAAGGGGTGTTTGGAAATGGGTAGGAGGCGTTTTTACTGGCATTAGTAAGCCAGAGCCAGAGATGCTTGACACGCTGTAGCGTCCAAGATGGGGCCACGCGACAAAGCTCTATCTCCTCCCGAATGCCAGAGCGCCCCTCCCCCGCACCCCTGTCAAGGACTACTCCCAGGGCCCATTTAGGTGAATCGTCCAGAGCAAAGCAATAGTCCACCCCCAAAAGAGCACTGAAGACCCCTGAGACCAAAACCTGCGTGTTGCTTTGAGATTAGTTTTTCCTAGATTCTGTCCGTCAGGTTTCAGACATATTAAGGCTCAGGTTTCATTCTGGGTACCTGGTTTACTGGCCTCCTGACTGGTAGTCCTTGACTCCTACAGATAGTTTCTCTGTCTTTCCACTGTGACATGTATGTAGTACTCGATGACCTGGAGGTGAGAGCAGGTACATCACCTGAACCTAAAGCAACACTCAGGGTAGACTACTGCATCCGGCACCAGATCCTACCCAGCGCCCAGGGTGCTGTGAACTACAAGCATACCTCGTTTTATTGCATTTTGCTTCATTGCACTTCATAGATGGTGTCTTTTTCACCACAGCTCACTTTATTGAGACACTGGCTTTATTACAGTGGCCTGGAACCGAACCTGCAATAACTCCAAGGTATGCCTGTATATCTTCTGGTTTCCACAGAGTGGCATCTGAGAGTGTTGTTCTCCCTTCTTCCAAGTCCAGCTCCCTAATAGGCAATCAGAAAGTTTACTTTGAAGCTTCATAGGGTTTGTGTCCACAAGTTCCACTGTTCATTTCAACAGAAAATTAGATGGCTTTGTTGATCAGAATAAGCAGGAGAGAGGCTGTCTGATTATAAACCCATTTTAGACCTGCCTAGAGCAGCATAGGATCTGGAAGACATATATTTATTTTTACCACAAACTACTCTAGTGTAAGGAGTTCAGTACGGAGTGGTAAGATGAAATGGTTACATTTCGTTTATCAGCATAATTTTACAGTGTATTTCTCTGTATCTGAGGAACGGTTGCCTGTCATTAAATATTTCCTGCCTGTGTTCCTTTTACATTCATTTAAATGCCCATCAGATTGCTCGCCTTTACACCCAGCCTGACACTTTTTCAGATTCTACAGTAAGTGGAGACAGGTATGTGCAGACCCGTGGTTCATTCCCACACCTGTTAGAAAGTGACTGTCAGCAGTCTGCTTCATCACCTGCAGAGGGAACCAGGGGGCTGAGAGCAGTTCTCCAGATCAGTCGGGATGGTCTCAAGGGGAGTGGGCACCGTGGTGCCCCCGTGTGCCTAGGAGGCCTTTCTCTAAGGGAGGTGGGGCCATGCTTTTTCCTAAAGAGAGGCTGCCCTTTCAGGAATGAGTTCTCCTAGGCCATGTTGAGAGATGCCGAGCAGAACGTGGCTACCAACTTTAGAGCGTCCATCCAGGAAGGAAGCGAAAAAGCTCTATGGATTTCTTTGGAAACCCACTTAGCAATATCCTCACCACAAACCGATGAGTACTTTCCACCTAGGTGCTCTCCCCTAAACAAAGGCCGAGGAGTCTCCTCCTTCGTTTCAGCTTCCTTCTTCCTGCAGGGATCCCACTTTGCCCCTCTCTTTCCTCCAACTACATTCTCTGACCCCATGGACGCAATGCATGCGGTGAGACCTACCTCACTCTGAGCCCAGCTGTGGTGTTTGTGGTCCTTTGGCTTTGAACAAACACTGAGCCGGAAGCTTAGGTTTTCATTTCAAAAGTCTTTAATTTCTGTTCTGTTCGTCAGTTGTGGTGTCTGTCACTCACATAGCACCAACTGTATACTGGAATTGAAGATTGATATTTAATTTACACTTAAGAGTTGTAAAAATTATGGTTTTCTTATATAATTTAGCAAAGAATTTGCAGATGTAGTTGCCAAATGGGGAGAAAATTGGGAGTTGTGGTTTGGCCACCTTAGTAAGTACTTTCTACCTAATGTGAGAAGAAAACAAAGGAATTTGGCTCAAAAAGCAAACCGTGCCTAGGCAGACCCCTTAGGAGCTAAAAATGAACCAACATCCTGTCCTTGACCTTGAAAATGTGCAGCCTGATAAGGGAGACAAGAAGAGTGTTGAGGCGACACTAATCCAAGGCAGGCTGAGAAATCTGAAATTAAAAGGCTTTCCCATCTACCAAAATATAAGAAATAAGGTGTGCCTGAATGCAATAGCAGAGTTAGAAGACATCTGCCATTTTTAAAAAACTTTTTGTTATCATCTTTGGACCCTTCTCATGAATCCTTTCTTGCCTTTGTTGTTCACCATTATTGAGAAGAAATAATATCCTTCCAGAAAGTTCCCATGTAACTTAGGAATGCATCAGAGCAGTGGTCCTCCAGGTGGGATCCCTGGGATCCCCGCAGCAACATCACCTGGGAATTTGGTAGAAATGCAGATTCTCAGGCCCCGCCCCAGTCAGAAACTCATGGGAGTAGGGCCCAGGAATAGGTGTTTTCGTAAGCACGTCAGGAGATTCTGACGTACCCTACAATTTGGGAGCCACTGCCTTAGAGAACGGTGGACCATCCAGCGTCTGGGAGCATCTGTCCTCCAACTTTGCTCTGTGGCTTCCCAGCCAAGCCGAGCGCTTCTCACTGTTAGGGCTCCGTTGGCAAAGAAGCTGAAGAAACACTGCAAAATGCGTCTCCTTTCTGAATAATTGCCACGTCTATCTTCCTATTAAAGACTCTGGGAAGTCCTGGACTAAGGAGATGTAATGCACTTTCACCAGAAGCTCCCCTAGTTATTTGAACAGAGAATTGCATCATCCCTGCGTGATGCCTGTTACAGTCTTGTTGCTAGCATTCTCTGGAACATGTTTTAGGAGAAACTTCTGGAGAGTTTTGCCCTTCCTGCTGTCAGTATCTGAAGTACCCTAGGTAGGGACCCCCCCTTGCCCTCCCCACACACACACATGCACACACAGTGTGAGAATCATGCCTGAACCCTGCCTAGAGAAGCAAACTTGGAGCCAGTGAAACTAGTTCACTCGTCTTCCTCTCTGTCCGCTATATCTCCTGCTGAACCCTACCTGAGCCATCTGAGCTACTTCACGTCCATGCAGAGTGTGGTGTGTATGTCTCCATTCCATCTACCTTTGTGAAGCTCATGTAATTAGCTCACAAACGATGTCTTGACATTTTTTTGGTCCATGCATTTTTGTAAGGATCAGTCATTATCAAATATTCTTGTATCTGTCTTTACTCGTATGGCACAAAAGATCGGATTTTTTTTCATTCTTTCATGGAAAGATTTTCTTCAAGTGTCAAAAATTACAATTTAATTGTAGAATGAACAATTCTACCAGTAGCTTTGTCTCCACCATGTGATTTCCCACCTGACTTAAAGGAGTCTGTGGCTGATAGAAATGATAGTGACACTTGTCGCAGGCCTTTCACACACATTATCTCATTTATACCTCAAAATAGAGGGAGTGAGGATCCTGTGAGGTAGGTATTATCAATCCCATTTTTCAGGCAAACAGAGAAGTTTATAGATAAAATGCTTGCCCAAATTGCACAGTTAGCAGTTTGGAGTGCAGAGTGAGACTTCCAGGTTTGAATCTCTTTCTGCCATTTAACAACTGTGTGACCTTGGGCAAGTTCATTAGCCTCTCTGTGCCTCAGTTTCCTCTTCTGAAAGATGAGGATAATGTACTGCCTACCTCACAGGATTGTAAGCTTTTACAGTGATAGATGTGAAACACTTAGAAGGATACTGTCAGCTGGGGAACGAAAAGTTGAAATACTCAGGAGGACCCCCAGCGTGAATAACCTCAGTTAACACTCACTACACATTGTGGATCAAGTGCCACAGTTTATGTCCTTGCACATAGCCGACTGGATGGTAAGCCATTATCAATCCCATGAAACATAGGATTTAAATGGGTGCTGTCATTTCTTGCTTTAAGATGCATGCTGGCCTTTGGTTCTCTTCGACCTCTCTCTGCTACTCCAGTTTCTCATTCTGGCTCCAACTGCATCATGTCCAATGTTATGTCTCCATTTTTAATTACAATGTGTTCCAGAGCACTTGAGTATCATGCGTGATTTAAACGTGGTATTTCTCTAAGTGAATAACATCTCTTTAACTTCATAAACATTAATTCAGAATGCCTTTCATGAAACTCAGTTTGCCTTTTGGATCCTCTTCCTCATTACCCATTCCAGTAAAAAAAAAAAAAAAACAGAATTGGGGTATTCCATTGGTGGCAGACTTGTTTTCCTTTGAAAGGGTCCTTTCAGATCACTGTTCCCTAGAGTGAAGAATTTTGACCAATAGCTGTTTGTTTTGGTATCAAAAGCAATGGAAATTCTTAGGTTACTGCCATATCATTTCATGTCATATCATTTCAGGAGGGGTGGTAGAAAACAGACAGATGTTAGGATCTCTCAGCAGTCGTTTCTCATAGGATTATAACTGGCACAGGTCAGACTTCCCCTGGCAGGACTCGCCGATTCCACACAGGAAATGCGTGCCATGAAGTAGCATCAGCGTAGGGCCACTCCTCAGAGGCAGAGCTATTTCCACTGTCACGCACGGCAATTAGGTAACACTTGCAGCTGATGCCGTTGGGCTTTTCCATGGCACACGGTTCACCGTGACCACCAGGAAGGGTTACGGGGTGGCTGTGCGGGCATGGGCTGCCCTCATTGCCTGGGTGCATCAGAGATTAGCCATTTGGTGTTTGGATGGTTGACTCATCCAGTTTATCCACAAGGAAGTAGTACAGACAACACATTTTAGTCATTAATGAAACAGAGATGTGCTGCTGAGAGCAAAAGAGGCTTTCTACCAGGTGAGTACCAAGGAATGTGAGACAGCCGACCTTCCTCCACCCCACCCCCATCACCACAACAGTGTTCTGGTTTGGCCATTGACTCACCGTTATTCGTACAAGATCTGTGTGTGTATAGCAAGCCTTACTGAAAGCCAAGACATTGGATCCTGACATAGGTGAATTATAATCATATAACAGCAAACACAAATGTAGTGCTTATAATGTACCGGGCACTATTTGAAGAGTTTTGCATATACATTCATTTTGTCCTCAGAACAGCCCTATTGAGGTAGATGCTATTTTTAATCCTCATTTGACAGATGGGTAAACTGACGCACAGAGATGTTAAGTGGCTTGCTCCAAGTCGCACAACTTGTTAGGTAGCAGAGCCAAGATTCACTTATAAACAATTCAACCCCAGAGTCTCTGCTTTTTATCAACTATGTCTGTACTTATGAGAAAAGGGAACATTACATCCATTTCTAGTTAGGTGCAGGCTATATTAATATTATACAAATTTAAGGCAGGAAGTCCTAGAAATAAAGAGGGACAACAATAAAAGATCAACTTAATAGGAAAACATAAACATCTTAAATATGTATGCACCTGTAACATAGTTATAAAATGGATAAAGCAAATGTTACCAGAAGTAGACATGGACAAATCCACAGTAACAGCTGGAGACTTTAACACACTTCTCTCAATAAATTATTAGGACAAGCAGACAAAAAAAAATCAGCAAGTACATAGATGATTTGAACAATACTCTTAAGCAACATAATTGACTTAATTGACATTGATAGAACCCAATCCCCAGCAACTGCAGGATGCACCTTGTAAGTCTACACGACACATTCACCAAAGCCAGTCATATCCTGGGCCATACGGCTAAAACTCAGCACATTTCAAAGGATTGAAATCAAAGTATATTCTCTTGACCCAGTGAAATTAATTCAGAAATGAATTAACAGACAACTCGAAAATCTCCAAATATGTTGACATTCATAACACAGTTCTAAATAATCCCAAATTCAAGGGAGAAACCATAGTGTAAATTAGAAAATGCTTTGAACGAAATGACGGTTAAACTGCAACCTAATAAAACTTGTGGGCTACAGCTGAAGCAGTGCTTGGAAGGAGATTCACAGCTTTCAGTACCTATATCGGGAAAGAAAAACATTTGAAAATCCATCATTTGAGTTTTCATTTCAAGAGGCTAGGAAAAAATCAGCAAATTCAGCCCAGAGAAAGTAGAAGAAAATAAAGATACAGGCTACAATCAATGAAGCAGAAAACAGGCATGCAATAAAGTCAACAGAACCAAAAGTTGGTTCTTTGAAAACATTGATTGCAGTTAAGTCTAAGAAGTGACTCAATACATCTCTTTCCTCCTACTGCCCCTGCCAGCTACTAAATTCTGAGTTAGGAAATCCACTGTCTATGGAGTGGGATTTTTTTTTTAAATCAGTCCCCCTCCCACAGAAATGTTCCTTCCACTATCGGTATTAGTTTGTCGATTCCTTTTTCGACTTTGAGTCTCTGCGAATTCTTTTCTAACTGTTCTCCTGTCTCTGTTTGTTCCATGCTAAGCAGATGGCCCAGAAATTAGCCAAAAGCAGGAAGAAGGTGCAGTACAAAAACTTCATCAGCTTGGTGTTCTGCCTGTTTTGTTCATTTATTTATGTTTTACCTTATTATTATTTCGTGTTTTTGTTTTCTGCATCCAGCAAGTTTTTGTTCAGATTTCTTTTTGAACCGCCCCATAAGCCAACGTTTCTTAAAGCTCAGTTGCCTAAAGTGGCTGTTTTCTGTTGCTCATGAGTCATTTCACTTAGAGGAACAGCAGGGAGCAGATTGGAGATGCTAAATGAATCGTACGGTCATGTGAAAGTTCCCACCATTCAGGAGCGTTATCGTGGCAGGGACTTGGGTCTTTTCAATTATAGTCACGTTTCATTTGTGGATTTCTCAGATTGCTGGATGCAAAAAAGAAAACTCGCTAATAACCACACCTGTGCGGAGTTCAGCCCTAAATGAACTAGACTGATGCGCTTTTTTTGGTTGTGGAGCTTCTAGGTGCTTATGAGCTAGCTACCCATGGGATGTTGAGGCATTGGGCTCTTTCTTAATGGGGTGGCTTCAGGGTACTGCTTCTGTGTTGCTGTGTCAGTGTGTGAACATGAAGACCCTCTTACCAGAACTGCATCCAAATGACTTTGTTTGCACCTGCTATAAGCATTCTTTCCCATCCCTTGAGCAGGGGTGGACTCTAACTTCACCAAAGTCCTGGGGTGTCAGTCAGTTGCCCTTATTTATTCAACCTTTTGGGCTCTGAAACCTTCACAGAAAGGGCCATTCATGATCCTTGTTCATAGAGCCAAATCTACAGCAGTGAACGACTGCTTCTAGAGGGAAGAAGCAAAGGGGACCCTGCATTTTCCCCTGTCACCTGGAGATGCTAACTCTCGTCCATGTGTCCGTCCTCAGTGTGGTGACTTCAGTTTGGGCAACTAATTCTGGGGTCTGCATTGCTGTTCTGGTGACTGTGTCTCGATGTCTCTGGGTATGAGCTCGCCTTTCCCCCATGCACCCGAGTCAGAGGGATGTGCTAAGCTTTCTCTTGGTGCATTTTTCTTCTCAGGCTCCTGAAGGCGAAACTCAGCCAATGACAGAGGTGGATCTCTTCATTTCTACCCAGAGAATCAAAGTATTGAATGCTGACACACAGGTATTAGCCAGCTCCCACCGTTCCCAGGGTGAAACTTAGCAGCATGGCAATTCAGAGACTGTGCCTGTGTCTGTAGAGCACCTGTCCCCAGATGCTGGCTTCTATACAAGCTAGAAGGTGGTGTCTGCAATGCTTGCTTGCTGGGGGTGGCGGGGAGGGTGGAACTTGAGACTGCTTTCTTAAAGATCAAAGGAAAAAATAAACCATGGATATTGTTTGCTAATAATTCTCATAAGTTGTTATCAAAAAATTCACAAACTTGAACAAATTAGACTTTCAAGAAATTTTGTTTAAAATCACACACACACACACACACACACACACACACACACACACAATGCAACCATCCCATGTAGATTTTTTACCTTTTTTTTTTTAACTTCCCCACCAGAGAGTTTACTGGTTATAAAATGATTGACATATCTTTTCACCTGCCACCCACCACTTCCTGGGTTAGTATTAGCTGAGGGAATTGCCCCCAGGCCTGAGTGGGTGCATGTAAATCTGCCCGCAGGGTCTTTGCAGCGAGCCCCGGAGCCCCCGCTTCATGTGGACCACACTTGGCTGGGCTGTGGGGTGGCAGGCTGTCTCAGGGGTCATTCGATGCTGCACTGGACTGACCGTTCTCTCGTGTCTGCCCTCCAGGAGACAATGATGGACCACCCTCTGAGAACCATTTCCTACATCGCAGACATTGGGAACATCGTCGTGCTGATGGCCCGCAGGAGGATGCCTCGCTCAAACTCCCAGGAGAACGTGGAAGCCTCCCATCCATCCCAGGACGGGAAAAGGCAGTACAAGATGATCTGCCACGTCTTCGAGTCTGAGGACGTAAGGGTGGCTTTCTGTGATCGCCCTCCGGTGACCTGAGCTGCCCCTGGGTGCCCAGATTCTGTCTCTCTCTCTCTCAGAATCTGAGTCACCCGTGAAACAAATATTTATTGAGCACCTACCGTGTGTCAGGCACTGTTTTAGTGCTAGGGATATAAGTCTGAGTAAAACAGACAAGGCACTCATCGTGAGGGTGGTAGGGAGACAGAAGATAAATAGATAGAGATACTTAATGTAAAATTAGATAATGGGAAGTTTGATAAAGAACTAGGTCAGGGGATAGAGGGACAGAGGCTGTTTCAGGTAGAATGATCAACAAAGTCCTTTCTGAGGAGGTGAGATTTAAGCAGAGACCTGAATAAAGTCAGAGGAGAGAGCAAGTGCAAAGGCCCTGGGGCAGGGGCTTGCCGCTATAGCTGAGGAAAGGCAAGGAGACCAAACTGCCAGAGAGTTTAAAATGAGAGCAGAATGGGAATAATCCAGTCAGACCCTGGGGGCCTGAGCAGGTCTCACCTGGGCACTAGGGCATTTGGGAGGACAGTTCTTGGCTGTGCAGGACTGCCTTGGGGGCTACAAGAAAGTCAGAATCTCTGTCCCTATCCACCCACCCACCTATAGCCCTTATGTAAACCAGCAGCACCCCCTGTCACAAAGCCAGTAATTTCTAACCCCTCCCCTCTTCTCTCCAGGTGATGAAGTCAACAGAGAAAATTAGTATATAACAGAGAGGGGGACCATTCTTCCTTCAGCCACCTTCCCCAGTTGTACTTGGAGCTGCTGTTGAGGCCGCCAGCTTCGAGCTGCGTTAGCACCTGAGCATCTCCCAGAGCTTGGCAGGCCTCGGAAGCTCCCCTCCAGGCCGGGGCCACTGCCCCACCATGGTTTTGAACTGCAGAGCCCCTGAGAAGGCCATGTCAGTGCCTCTGGCGGTGCTGATTTTTCCTCCTGCCACAGTGGATTAAGCTCTGTTTCTCGTACTGAGCAGAGAGCTCTTACTATTATATTTAAATTGCCTGTGGTAGCCGTGGCTCCTTAAAAGAGGTCATTTTTCTCCAGGAGCATGTTCATCTATTGAGCTGCAGTAAATTTCCTTCTTCCAACAAGTTAGGAGTCAGAGGCAGGCTGCTTTTCTCCAGGGACCCGGACCTGTCACAGCTGCAGCCTTAGAGAGGAGGGATCGCTTACAGTCCCGGCAGCATCCTTTACTAGTCTGGCCCTCTAGAGAGCAGCCCAGGGACAAGGTCGCTGGGAAGGAGAGAGCCTGCAGTGTCTCTCACCACCATTCTCCCTGCTAGTCCTTTAAAACTGAGGCCAAACTTGCAAAGTGAGAGAAAATGTGTTTTAGAAGGTTCTTGGAAAGGTTCAAAAGAGTTAAATTTAGAAGCTTAAGCCTCTTGGGTTCTGCAGGCCAGTGAAAAGGTGGGATTAGCTCTGCTCACCAGGCTTGAGGCTCCCATCTCAGTATGAACATATGTACGTATGAGGATCCCTCTGCCACCTTCTTCTGGCTTCAAGCCCCAAGAAGGGGTTTCTTTTCCTTGGGGTTCCTGTTGAGGAAGACGATGAAAGGAAAGAATGGGGAGCACGAGTTAGGACAAGTGTCAACCAGGGTATGTCACCCCTTGGCCTCCTAAGCAGAGGATCAAAAGATCCTCTAAGCAAAAGATCATTAGCTTCAGACCTGGGGGAGCTGGGTATGAATGCTGCCTGCGCAGGTCAGCTGTGTGGCCACTTAGCTTCTGCAAGATGATAGCCCCCCCACACCCACCCCATTAGGCTGCTGTGTGACTGTGCTAGCTACTGCATAAACACCGCGCCTGTGCGTTCACCATGTACAGCCGTGCCCGATGATCAGCAAGGTCCCAGGCCTATATTTTTCAGTTCATCTGTCTACTTGTGCCTCTGATACCTGAAGCAATGTCTCACTTCCAGTTTTGTGGCAGGATGCAAGGTGGTGGTCCTCAATGTGACTTGTGGCACATGAAGTCACCAGATTCTCAGAGTGAGGAAAGTTATAAGTTTCTTTTCCCACAGCCAGCCACACAGAAAGTACTACTGTTAATTGGCTGCTTTTAGCAAAAACTAGGGAAGGTAGGGAAGGAGGTTAGCATTGTGTGTTTCGTAAACATCACACTAGAGATTTTGTTTGGTTTGGTTATCTTTCTACCCATCTGAATTTCACAGAGAGGCAGTCCTGTGTGGTGGGCAGGGAGGGTGGGCTCTGGAATCAGTCTGCCAGGATTCAGCCCCTCCCCCCCGCCTCACCCCCTTCCCAAGGAGGGGACAGCTTAACCTCTCAACCTCTGTTTCCTGATCTGTCCAATGGGGACAGTAAAACAGAGCTACAATTCCAAAGTCTAGAGAGTTCTGAGAAATGAAAGGGAGCTTTGTAGTCAATTTGCTGATAAACCTGCGCTGAACTGCCATGAGGTGATTTATAGGATTTGTCCAGCTTACCAGGAATCTTATACATTTTGCTGCAGGAATATTACTGTGTTCGTTGATAGAACACTTCCCCAAGCCCTAAAAGGATTATCACACAATGTATGATACAGGCACCCTGTTACCTTTCTAAAATCCAAAATTTTCTGGATTGTGAAACAGCCTCAAGAGCTTAGGCTGAGGACTTGTGGACCAGCCATGCTTTCATCAGTCCTAGGTTTGTGATGTGACAATTTTTGTGATGGCCCTTGTAAAGCACTGAATGCAGCACAGGCACCTACAAAGTGCTGGGTTGCTGCTGGCTACCCCGAGTCGTCATGCTGATGAATTAACGCAGGGAAAGGTTATCAAAGCCCAGTGCAGCAAAAACAGCCAAAGCAGAGTTCCCATCCCGTGAGCTGTGTAACCTTGAGCAGGTTCCTTTGAGTCTCTGGGCCTCCATCTCCTCACCTAGAAAATGTAGGGTGGAGCTAGATCAGAGTTCTCAACAAATATTTTATAAATGCTCCATTACCATCCCGAAATAAAAATAAAATAGATAATATAGCCTCCCCTTTTGAAAACATTTCTACAAAGTAACCTATGTAGTGTCATAAATGTAACACAAAGGAAAAACCAAAGGAAACAAGCTACAATAATAGCCTTGTACTTACGACAACATGTAAATGCTGGGGCCCAAGCATTCTGGAAGGAATAATGGAGTCATCAGGTGCTTACACCTGCTTGATTAATAAGTTTGGATATGAGAACACAGTATTCAGCTGAATATTGTAAACACTTTCTATTTGTCAGTTTGAATTAAGGGCTAACTCAGAAATTAGATCAGTAAGTAGGTAGACAAACACACACACATGCAGAATTACCCCACAGGACAGCAAAGGTGCAGGCTGATGGTGGTGTAATTTACTGGCAGCCCAGATACCATGAACAATATTAATGCTGATGGTTTTGCAAAGTCATGAAGCTTGCTCCTGGTAGAGTGCTGGATAATACAAAGTATCACACTCTCTCAGTTTACACAATAGTTTTGCTCTTGGAACATCTGATGTGTGCAGTTAAAGGCTTTATGTTTTTATATAAATTTGAGCTGAGTCCTGGACTCAGATCATTAGACCCAGGGGTTACATGTACATGAGTGTTCAGTGGGACATTTGAAAATTGGCTAGGATATAGAATGACTCATCCCTGTGGAGGACTGCCCTTTGCACGGCTGTATGTCCAACATCTCCGATTCCAGGCACTGATTGCCAGTGGCGCCCTATGGTTATTGTCACAATCAAAAATGTCCCTGCTAATTTTGAAATGACCTCTGGCAGCCATTAGCGCCCTATGTAGACCCATGGCCTGGTTGATGCCTAGGCTCCACAGGCCATCAGTAGGGCTGCCCTGTTGACCTCCATCTCCCCTCTCTGGCTGCTCTCTAGGCCCAGCTGATCGCACAGTCCATAGGGCAGGCGTTTAGCGTGGCATACCAGGAGTTCCTCAGGGCCAATGGCATCAACCCCGAAGACCTCAGCCAGAAGGAGTACAGTGACCTGCTCAACACCCAGGACATGTACAACGACGACCTGATCCACTTCTCCAAGTCGGAAAACTGCAAAGATGTAGGTACTTTACTGAAGCTGTTCTCCAAGCCAGGGCAGCTGGTAGGAGCCCCAGGGTGTGCAGGGCAGGGATGTGTGTGAAGAGTGTGGTATTGGGAGGACATTGCTAAGGGCTTGGGCCCATCTCTGGCTCCCCTTGCATGAGGCCCTGTGATTACAGACTGCAGTGGAGGGCCATCCCCAATGAGGCGGAGCGTCCTCTGCCCCCAACAATCCTGACCTAAGTTCAGGGTGAGTTCCATAGGCAGACAGGACCTGTACTCCGCCTGATCAAGCCCACAGTTTAGGAAAGGGCATGGAAAAGTGAAATGATGGTGCTGGTACAAGCACTAGTCAAAGATGGTGCTTGGCAAAATGGAACAAACCGAGGGGGCAGGGGGGTTCAGAAAATAAATACCTCATTCCTGCAGGGATGGCCCCATTGTTTCAGACCCAGTACTGTAGGGGTGTCTGGAGGAAAATGGCTATTCTTTGGAAAGTGTAGGGGCTTGCAGCGGGCTGGGCCAAAGTTACAGAAACATGAAAGTCAGAAAGGTCAGAATGGCCCGGGGAGCCAGGAATGAGGCAGTATGGCTGGAGAAGGGGGTGCACGTAGGAGGGACAGGGATTCTCGTTCAAGGGATCTTGTGGGGAAAATGCACTCAGAAAAAAGAGTGTGGGGGGCGGGGGAGTGGGGTTCTAAGGAGGAATGTGTCCTGCTGGAGATGAGCTTCCTGCTGACCCACAGAGAAGCACTGAGTGACAGATCGAGGGACAGACTTCTCCCACATTGGGCCAAGGGAGCTGGCAGGCCTTGGTACCCTGTGCCGATCAATTATTGACACCAAGGTTGGATGCGGATTTATTAGTGTGTTCAGGGTATCATAAGATACCACAGTCTGGATGGTTTCAATGACAGAAATTTATTGTCTCCCAGTTCTGGACCCTGAAAGTCCAAGATCAAGGTGTCAGTAGGGTGGGTTCCTTCTGAGGGCTGTGAAGGAAGGATCTGTTTCAGGCCTTTCTCCTTGGCTTGTGGATGGCTGTCTTTTTCCCGGGTCTTCATGTTGTCTTCCCTCTGTGTATGTCTCTGTCCACATTTCTCCTCCTGCAGGGACATGGGTCACATTGGATTAGAGCCCACCCTAATGACCTCATTTTATCTTGGTTACCTCTGTGAAGACCCTGTATCCAAATAAGGTCACCTTCTGAGGCACTGGACATTAGAACATATGAATTTGGGGGAGGACACAATTGAACCCATAACTGGGAGGTGCGCTGTCTCCCATTAGGCTAAAGGAAATTCTCCAGGGTAGGGGCCCGTTGTGAACTTCAGCAGCCAGGGGAGGGAGACACCAGACAGTGAAGGGTCACACCCCAGCAGCCACCACTACGGTGTTTGAGCATATGTGTATCTGTGAATAGGAATAAGTAAACACACACACACACATGCTTTGTTGGATGCTTCCCGGAAGTGTCCTACCCCTTTGTGGTATCTCTGCAAACCTTACCAGATGGCAGGCATCCAAAACTAACTCCCATCTTCTCTGCCCTGCCAGGGAAAGCCACACAAAATTACACATAACTGGAGCATGGTCTTCCTGTTTGTTCTTCCAGCCTTTGGGTTGTGATAATTTAAGCATCTTTTTTCTTTTTTCTAAGCTTTCTACTTGCAGAGAAGTGTTTCTGTAACGTATTGGGTTGTCAGAAAAGTCATGACGTATTTTTCTGTGTTTTTCGTTGCAAAAATGCATCATGACTTTTCCAACAACCCAGTATATTTATTTTAACTCAAGAATGTTAAAGTTGGAGAGAACCTGTGAAGCACTGGAATAGGGGAACCAGTGCATAGAAACTGAAAGCTGTTTCTGGAAACCATAGCTCACCACCAAAGCCCCTACCTACACAGTCTCTTCTTCCAACCCCAACCCCAGGGGCCTATAGGGGAAAAAAAAAAGAAACCAGGATGCCCTTCGTGGTTATATTGCCAAGTCAAGACTGCTTATGTGGCACAAGAATTACAAAAAAAAGCATGGGCCTGTGATAAATTGCATCTAACATCCTCCAATGCCGTGAAATACAGAGAAGACAGGACTCTTGGGTTGGAGGTTTCAGGGAACTGTCTGTCTTTAGTCAAGACTAGAAGAGGGGAAATTGCTTTCATTTCTGTAGCTGCCCTGGATGGTTGCTGATTCAGGCTTTCTAAGTGTTTCTCTCCTTTCAGGTCTTCATAGAGAAGCAGAAGGGAGAAATCCTAGGTGTGGTGATCGTGGAATCCGGCTGGGGGTCCATCTTGCCAACCGTGATCATAGCCAACATGATGCATGGAGGGCCCGCAGAGAAGTCAGGGAGGCTGAATATCGGGGACCAGATCATGTCCATCAATGGCACCAGCCTGGTAGGCCTGCCTCTGTCCACCTGCCAGAGCATTATTAAGGTACCTGCAAGTGGGGGAAATCAACTTCTATTGCAGACCTGAAATGACAAGAAGTGTGACTGCAGTCATCATGAACATATTCTAACACTAGGCCCATCTCAGGCCTCACTAATCAATCACAGCACTTTCCCACTAAGCCCAGACTCAGCCTCAGCAGAATGTTTCTCAGCTCAGTAATCCAGATAATCACCTGGGGCAGTGGTTCTTGAATCCTACCCCCCAAGGGACATTTGTCCATGTCCAGAGACAGTTCCGCTTGTCACAACTAGGGAGGTGGAGATGCTACTGGCATCCAGTGGGTAGAGGCCAGGGATGATGCCAAACATCCTCGCATGCATAGGACAGCCCCACGGCAAAGGATTACCAAGCCCAAATGCCAACCGCACCGAGGTTGAGAAAGCCTGCCTTAGGGGTATAGAGTTCAGATGTGGGAGAGAGAAATCGGGAGAGGGAGGTGGATGAGGGAGTATTCTTGGGGACTTGACCTGGGTCTGGAAAGGTTTGGGGAGGAGGAACAGGAAGAGGGATAATCTGAGTGAAGGTGAGGCTGAGGCCTGGGTGGGACTAAGCAGGACCTCCTGAGGACTGGCGAGGCTGCATGCCAGCGCCCATGACACACCTGCCAGGCAGTGCTGAGCCCTTTACAGAGTCAACCCCCTCCTCGTGACAGACAGCCCACAGCTGAGTCATTAGAGACTCCAAATGACTTGCCCAGGACCCCCATTCCCACCCCTGACAAATAAGTCCAGATTTCCTGAGCCATCCCTCGCTGCCTCTGCAGGAAGAAGGCAGGTGAGGGAGGCTGAGACCCATGAGGGCAGCGCTGACTTCCCCGGGCGCCACACAGGGACTCATCCTCAATGGATTACACATAAAGGTGGAAACAGAGCTTGCTCAGAGGACAGTCAGCACTGTCTGAGCAATTTCCTAACGGAAAAAGGTGGTTTGTGTGAGTAGCTGACCTTTGATGTCTGTAAATGAAGCCTCTGTGGAATCTGAAAATTAAAAGGCTGTGTGGTGGTGAAAGAGATGTAAGTGGTGAAGATGGAGAGTAAGAAAAGCAGTGTGTCCACGGCCCCCTTCAGCAGAGAAGCACTCAGCGGGCAGGCCCCAGCTAGGACACTGCTGCCCTCCCTCAGTGCCCGGATGCACCGCTGTGTCCAAGGAAAAATGTGACGGGCCCAATGCTCCCCGCTCCACTGATTTCAGCTGGAACGGCGAGCACCAAATGAAGACATTTCGTGGGTTTGATTAGTTTTATGTTTTAATTCCGTGTACAGAACACCCTTTCTGCCTACATCTGAGCATCTGCCCCTCCCTCCCCACCTGGGGCACTTGCAGGAAATGTTCTGGGCTTCTCCATGGTTTCCTGTTAGCATTGCTTGTTTCAGTGTTGTGTCGGTGCTCCTTGCGAGGAATTTAACAAGCAACTCTCACCCAGGTAAATCAGTGCTTCGCAAACTGATTTGAATCACCCAGGGGTCTTGTTAAAATACAGGTTCTGGTTCAGCAGGTCAGGGGTAAGATTCTGCATTTTCAACAAGCTCCCGGGTGGTGACATCACCAGTCTTCAGGCTGTGCTTTGAGGAACCAGGGTCTAAAGCCGCGCATTCTGTGTCTTGCCACTTTCATGTTTGTTGACCTTTTTGTCCCCTAGTGGTAGGAAATAGAATACATTTCTAGAATAGAGTTATAGGTATGGAATTGTTTTACTTGCTTTCTTCCCTAGTTCTTATCTTTCCTGTCATAGCTCCTAAACCATAATAATCAGTAGGCAAAGCATGCCAGCAGCCTGCCTGTTCATTGCCTCCATGGCCCTTCCCTCCTGGGTTTTCTTTTTCTTTTTTAAACTAGAGCACCGCTCCCCATTCCTGCTCCACGGGATCACCCTGGTTCGGCTTCCCTGTTGCCATAGAGACCATTCTGGCTTCTCTCCTCCCCCCCCTACTTCCCTCCCTTTCCCCTCCCACCAGATTTCTTAATTTGCTGCACCATTCCGCCGTTGTCATGGGGACAAAATGACCATTTATTTAATTGGCACCTCCAATAAAATGATAGCTCAGAGATCCAAGCTAATGAGACCCAACTTGAAGCACTGATTAGAAAGAGCGGAGCAAGTGCACGGTCTGATTATTTCCAATTGCCATCCCTCCAAGCCTCGTCAAGCAGCGCATTTCTCCAGTCTAGAAATTCTGTCACCGAGGGACAAATCCGGCATCTTAAACCAATTCACACAAAAGGAAGGAACCCACCGGAGCAATGTGAACGTTTTAGGTACCATTGAGAAAATAACGTCATTTTCTTGCTTTTCAGTATGCTCTCTAAGGTTTTCCTGTACCTCACAAACATACCTACTTAATAATCCCAGTGGTTAATAGGTGTAAGCGTTTAAAGCAGGTGGCTTTGTCGGAAGGGCTGTGATTCTAACTTGTTTGCCCGTTTTTGGCATTTTTTGCTCCGGTTTCCCACATATTCCTGGTCTCATGGTGGAGAGAGAGCCCGCTGGCTGCCTGCCGTCTGCCCGGCAGCCCTCCCCTGAGCTCCTGGAGGCCGCCCCACCCCTTCCCAGTGCCCATCACATTTCCTGGCACACAGCAAATGATCAATTAATATTTATTAAGGGAATGAAAAGTAGGACGCGCTCACAGGAGAAAGAAATATATGCCTGAATGGTATCTGAAGAAACTCCCCCCCACTTTCTGCAAAAGAAACCTATTTTTAATTTTAAAAATAGGTGTGTTTCTAAGCATAATGGTTGAGATGTGGTATTGTCAGCAAACACATTTAGGAAACATAAAAAAGCATGAAAAGGAGTGAAATCATAGACATTAGAAGTGGAAGAGAGCTTAGTGGATGTCACCGTTTGTTTTGCCGATGAAAAAAGATTGAGGTGGGAAAAGGGGATAGCGGGGTGTCTGAGACCCCCACGGAACTGTGGTGGCAGGAATATACTTGAGCCCAGGTCTCCTGACACAGCAGAGTCCTCCTTACCAAGCCTTGCTGTTAGCAGCAAAAAGCCAGCGTGTCCCCCGTTAGCATGGACAACGGACCTGCTGCCTGGCCAAAGACCAGGAAGATTCACTGTCGGCTCATCCCTTGGCTGCTCCACTTTGAAATCATCATTCCTTGAACCAGAGAAGTTTCCCAGAAATGTTCCAGAAACCACGGGGAGACGCTGGTAACGGCTGCCTGTGTGTGTACCCCAAGTCACCATAAGCCACATTACAGCCATTGGGAGGCTCAAACCCCACAGAAAAACAGCAGTTCAGAGCACGGAGGGCAGAAGCCAAGCCGCTGGAGGTGGAAGATTAAATGGAACCCCTCAAAATGCACACGTGGAGAGGACAAAGGCAGAGAGGAAGCCAGCAGCAGGCGCCCTGAAGAGCTCTCGCCAGGTAGTAAAGCCAGATGGGGAAACATGGCCCCCGTGCAAGGCTGGAATAAAGGACCTGGGGACACAAGTTTGTTCTGTTGCTCTTTCTGGCTTCTTGTTGAGCAAGCCTTACTCATGGATGCATGGCACAGTCTCTCCCATGGTCTATGTGGTGGACCATGGTGTAGGAGGAAACGCTGTGGTTTTGAACACAGACAGACCTGGGATTGACTGCTGCTGTGGGTGAACATGGATGAGTTATTTGGTTTCTATGAGCCTCAGTTTCCTCTTCTAGAAAATGGACATAATTATAGCTGCCAGTTTGTCCAGGAGACTGAAGGAGATAGCTCCTGCGATTCTCCAGGTCAGTACCTGTCAGGAAGTCAGTGTTCAGTGACAGATGGTTCAGCTGGTTTCATCATCAGGATGCACTGTGAGGGACAGTGATTTTAGGGGTGCTCACACATGGTACAGACAGGCAGATGGCCGACTGGCCATCAGGCCAACCAACTCTCCCACAAGCCATCGTCCCCACCCAACATTGCTCGCTCCTGCTCTCATAGAGCACACCGGCCACAGGTGTCAGTAGTAAATGGACATCATTGGCTCTAATCATCCCTTGGAGAAAGTCAGTCACCTGGGTGCAGGTGAGTTCATTGTTCGGCAGCAGAAGTCTATGCCAGTGTGTATCCCTAGAAGTGTGTATAGAGTCACTGGGAGTGTGTACCGCACAGATTGTTGGGTCCCATCCCTGTCGTTTCTGACTCAGTAGGTGTGGGTGGACCCCAGGCTGATTTCTAACAGAAGTGGCCAGGCCTTGCTGCTGCTGCTGTTGCTGGTGTGGGGGCCTCTTTTCGAAAACCACTGGTGTACCCTGTTGGCCAAGCATAATAAAGCCAGACTACCAGAGGCCAAAAAAAGCCCCTATCATCCCTCAATCTAAAGCATATCTTCATTACTTAGAAACAAAAGGTGTGTGGGTCACTTCTGCCCCTCAGAGAGGCAGGTCGCACTCTTGCCGCAAATTCAGTGGGTGCTGAAGTCATCTAATACCAGTTTCACCTCTGTGCTTGGCAAGATGTTTGTGAGATAAGCAGAGGCCTAAGCAGGGGAGCCGTCATCCCAGTCCTGACCTCCCACGGAGAGATTTTGCAGACTGGTCAAGGAGTGAAGGCTGGCAGTGGGGGCTGTGGAATTCACAGGTTTCTATTTATAGAAGACGAGGCAACCCCCTTTCAGACTGAAATGGATTTGTCATTGTTCTCCCGGGCCTCTCTGTCCACTCTGCCCATCGAGGGCACACACTGCACCTGTTTGTGAATCGATCGAGCGCTGTCTCCAGGGGATAGAGTGGACTTGGGGGAATAGAGCCCACCTTTTCCTGAACACCTGTCCCTCCTCTGGTGGCTGCTGTCCCTGGAGGAGAGGCTCCCCACTTTGCCCCACACACACACACACACAGCACCAGCGTTTAGGAATAGCCTCCCCCCTTCCCCTCTGACCCTGAGGAGGAGAGGGCTCATGGCTGACCTTGAGCCATTTCCCAGTCAGCTGGCCTCGCTAGATGGGGGTCCAGCGGGACAGGCATTTCCCGCAGAAACGCTGAAATCTCCCTAACTCCGCTCTCAAAGCAGGGCCACCAGCCACAAGCCCTGTGGTCTGCTTACCTACCACAGGGTGCAAAAGTACCATCCTTTTCTCTGTGTGCCATGACTTGTGAAGGGTCAGACAGTAGCTGCTATAGGCCTTTGGGGCTGGACAATCCGTCACGCAGCAGTTTTAGCTGAGGCCAAGCAGGCAGTCTCTGGGAGACCTGGGAGATGGGCGTGTATTCCAGGGCTGAATTACGTTTGTTTGGCACTCTCCTCTTGGGGTGAAGCTCACAAGTTGGTGGTAGGACGTGTAGGAGCCAACACTTTCCCCTGCCTGAGTGAGGGAAAGTGCAGCTTTGTGATGATCATCTAGGGCTCTGGTCACTGTCATGCATATTCAGGGGATAGGAAGGCAGGCCTGAGCTCAGCATAGACTAGGATGGAGTGGAGGAAGCTCTCTGAACAGGCTCTGACACCAGACCAAGTCCCTGTGTGATCTTTACAGACCACTTTTCCCTCTGCACTCCATTCTGATTTAGAGAGAGGGGCATCTTTGCAAGGACCATGAAACGTCAGACAATCTCCCAAGTCTTATTCTGTTCTTCCTTCTCATCTTGTTCCTCCCACCAGCACCCTATTCATTCTCCCAAGGAGGCTGTCACTGAAGGGAGTCCTGCCTGCTCCCTGCTTTTCCCCAGGTGCTGGTGGGAATGTTGATAAAATCTAACAGGCAGAGACAGAGGATGGGGAACCCGGAGCGTCAGAGACAGAAAACAAGCCTCCGTGACCTGGGCCAGTGGCTGTGAATTCGACGTTCTTTGTTAGAAGAGGAGGAATCGCTCGAGGTTGCCTTTCGGAGAAAAAGTCTGTTTGCCACTTGTCTGTCTCCTGACCAGGAAAGAGAGATTGTGCACCGTCCATCTTTCCAGCCCGAAAGGACGTGTGGCAGTTTTCCTCTTAGTGGCACAGACGACCACTTTGTTCAGGTCCTTGGAACACAGCCCGTTTCCCCAGATGAAGACATTGCCCACAGACACCGGTGTCCGCACGGAGGAAAGGACTGCGTGTAAAGCAGGCGGTTTCTCCCCTGAGCTGACACAGTCTAGCAGTGGACTTCGAGTACTCTCGGAGTCAAAGAAATAAGTCTCACTGGGGCTTCTTTTGCCTTTGGCGCTGTCTGCTCCAATCCCTTCTGTCTGCCTCGGTGGTCACCATGTCCACTGCACTTTGTTCCCTTTTCAGGGCTTGAAGAATCAGGCCCGGGTAAAGCTGAATATCGTGAGGTGTCCTCCGGTGACCACCGTGTTGATCAGGAGACCAGACCTTCGCTACCAGCTGGGTTTCAGCGTCCAGAATGGAATTGTAAGTACCACTCCATAACCTTTTCCAAAAGTCTGACAAAAATGTGGCACAGCGTTTGTTTGGTTTAAGCTGGTCAGTTCCCTGACAGAATCCAGCGAGGAAGGGGATGAATGGGAGAAGGCAGGCCCAGTTTCCTCCGTGGACAGAGAACTCTGTGCCTTTCCATGGGAGAAGAGAAAGGCCCTTCTCTGAACCCTGGCCCTCGGAGCCCGAGTCTCTCTGTGACTCTGCAGGGTGGCCCTCCCAGCTGCCAACTGGAGATCATTTGGAATGTACCAGCAAGGGCTTCTTTCCTGTCTAGCTCGGAGGGACTGCCACCCTGTCACCACCCTGTCAACACACTCAAGCCCCTGCAAAGCTGCTTCTGCTCCCTGGGCGTGGAGCACTGGGGGCTGGGCTTCAAAGCAGCCTGTGATTCCAGCTCACAGCCCAGGCTGAGAACCTCTTCCGGCCCCCAGTGCTGCTATGTGTGACGGGTCTGTGCTTTGCCTTTTTAACCTCAGTTGGCACTTTGGGGATACAGAGTGTTTTTGTCACTTGGGTGTCTGCCTTAAAACAATATTTCCCTTTTTTCTTTATCGTGGTAAAACCTACACAACATTATACTGACCATTTAAACCATTTTTTAAGCGTACAATTCAGTGGCAGTAAGTACATTCACAAAGTATTATGACCATCACCACTATCTCTTCCCAGAACTTTTTCTTCATCCCAAACAGATATCCATACTCAATACCACTTCCTTGTTGTCATTGCTTACCTGTCTGGACTCACAGTTATTCTGGATTTGAGTGGCAAATCTGTCCTCTATCTGTAACCTTCTTGATTTTGCAGATTTTGGATATGACCTCCCTCTCTTTGCATTCATCCTTCCAGATAGAAAAATTCTATTTTTTTCTACTTAAATTTCAATTAAGAGTTGTAGGTAATCAAAAATGTATTCCAAGTTATAGCTTAAGGTTTGAAAATAGCCATTTGAGGTTCCCAATCGGAGTTGAAAAATCCACCCATTTCATCTTTGTACATATATAGCCTCATGTGCTTTTTGGAGAGGATCCTGGGTCAGTCTTTATAGTTTGGGTCTGATGACATATTTTTATCTGTTTATACTTCCTTGTTTGCTCTGTCCATATTTGAATAATATTAAAAGTTCAGATATGAACAAAGGGTTGTTCTATATCAATGTGGGTCTATTGGGGTCCTCTTTTTTCTTTTTTTAAAGCGTGGGTAGCACCTAAGGAATCATTGACCCAGAGTACGTGTCAGGTTGAAGGCTTTCACACGCTTACGGACACAGGAAGTGTTGTGACAAGATGTTGCAGTCTCCCCTGCATGGACTTTTAAATAAAGGTGCACAGTCTGGAGTGAAAAGCCAGCTTTGTAAATTCAAATCATATTCTTCTTGGGAAATTCCAGTTGCGTTGTGTGTGAGGTGGGGGTGGCTGTAGCCTGCGGTGTGGAGCCCAGTGCCCTCCAATTGAGGGAAGGGAAAGCAGGCTCGTTTCCAGCAGCTGCAGCACCTGCCCACCCACTGGGATGAAAACCAGGCACATCGTCATTTCTGTGAGTTGGGAAAGCGGAAAGGAGCAGCTCCCCTCCAGCAGGCACACTTAGGAACACCAAGGGGGGTTCCAGCCCCTTTGGCTCAGGTAACTGTGACCCTAAAAAGCAGCTGCTTGCATTATACAGTTTGACATTTGAGTCCCAGGGGTGATTGTGGGAAATAATATTCACCTGAGGTATACAAGCTGACAGTTTGAAAAGCATTCACAACCCAGTGACAGGCCCAAACAGCTCTTTTTACAGGACCCAGCTGGAGTGAGTAGTCAGAATTCAGTGTCTGTGAAATCCAGTGACGCGCTAACGTTCCCTGTGCAAAGTGCATGAACAAAGTGACCCACGTGGGCATATGGAACCCTATATCCTGTGAAAAGAAACAAAGAGATTCCAATGCCCAAAACCTAATCATGGCAGCTTCTCAGGGATGAGAGTGCAGGGGGCAGGGGGCTCCGGAAAAGAGTCTTCTCTCCCCACCCAGTTCCCTGCCCAAAATGGCTAACTTGACCTTTTACTCTGATAGATCTGCAGCCTCATGCGAGGGGGAATAGCCGAGAGAGGAGGCGTCCGTGTGGGACACAGGATCATTGAAATCAACGGACAGAGTGTGGTCGCCACCCCACACGAGAAGATTGTCCACATCCTCTCCAATGCTGTGGGGGAGGTAGGACCGGGGTCCAGGGCGGAGGTCCTCGGGGGCCCCTCGCCTCATGCTCACCTGGGCCCTGATCAGGCCTTCCAGAAAGCGTCCTTCCCGATCCTGCAAATTCCTCAACAACCAGAACGGTCTGCCTCAGGCCAGATTTTAAACCCCTTCATGGCCTTCACCCTTTGCCCAACCCCCTTCTCCCCTGGTAACCACCTGTCTCTTCTCTGTATCTATGAGTTTGTTTTGGAGGATGTAGTGCTGAGGGTGTAATACTGAGTAAATAAGTCAGAAGGAGAAAGACAAATACTGTTTGATCTCACTTCTGTGTGGAGCCTTAAAAAAGAAGAAAAAACAAACTCACCTTCTCTTTTTAGCTCTCAGCTTCTCTCCAGGGCTGTCCAGTTCTCTCCATTTTTTCCATCTCACCAGATGCGCCTGGAAGACTTAAGTTTCAGATTCAAGGCTAATCAACAGAACAGGCCTCCAGAGGGGTCTGCCTGGCACACCTGGCATGGACTCGACTTAGGTCCTAATGGCTGTTCCAGGGCTGATTTCCTGAGCCGCCCCACCTGTGAGGAGGGAGCAAGGCAGGAGCAGTCAGAACCCCACAGCCATTCTACTTCCGTTTTAAGAATTCTCTCCTTTAAAAAAAAAACAGCCTGTGAGAGCAAGAGCATTTGACTGGGAAAATAAACCTTACCTGGTTTTCGTTGTTACTCTGTTGCCCCTAACGTTATAGAAAGCCTGTAGATTCCACTCTTCCTGGAGGCCACGTGGGTCAGGCCCCTGTTAGTAATGGGGTTGAAGTGCGTATCTTCAAATCCCCCCATGGTGACAAATTCCGCCTCTCCCCCCAGCCCTGGGCCCCCGAGCCTCAGACCCTGATAACTTGCGCTTCTGCCCTCAGATACACATGAAGACCATGCCGGCTGCCATGTACAGACTGCTGACAGCCCAGGAGCAGCCCGTTTACATCTGAGGCCCCGCCCACCGCCTGGCGGCATGCATGGAGGACTCTCCTCACTCGTGGTGTGTTTCTCGTGCTGCATCTGTGTGCCCACTGAGACATTTCCCTCTCATGCCCAGCCTTCTGTCTTGCACAGGAAGGATGAATCCTCAAAGACCTCTTTGTTCTCTGTCTGTCTCCAGTTTGCATCTTTATGTTTAATACCTGGGGAATTTTGTATGTACTCCCTTGAGGATAGAGAGCAGCCAGTATCCACCTGGTGTCTTCCCAGGACTCGACTGTCCTGAAGGGCCCTCAGGGGGGCCCGAGGAGGGCTGTCACTGCCCACGGGGGAACCCTCCCTTCTCAAGAGGTGCAGACCTCTTAGAAGGAGCTCCCAGGGGCAGCAAAGAAGCTGTTTTAGCAGTGCCTACAACTCAATCACTGATCTCTGCTCCCCTAGAGTCAATGTGTGGGAACATGGTAGTAATGGGGGACCAGCCGTGTCTTTAAGGATATGCCCTGCCCGCCCTGTACTTGGGGCACCATGCATAATTTCTGCCCAGAATCCTGAGCCAGCCTTATGCTTCTCCTATAGCTAGTGTTAGTTTCAACATAATTGTGTTTTCTAATAGGAGCCTCCTTACCCAAGGATACAAGCGGAACTGCTTTGGACAAAGATTACCATCACGTTGTCGGCAATTTCTGGGACAGCTGTAACTTCCCCAGCTTGTCCTGAGGTCACAAATCGTTAGATAAACATGGGCAGGTGCTTTCTATGTTCCTCTATATCACACACCCTTATGTACACATAGACTCACTTGCATGTATATCGCCCTCTCCTTGTCCCCACCACCCAGGAGGCACACGGAAGCCCTGGAAAACCCACATCACCTCTCTGCAAGGCCCTTTCCCCTGGCAGGGGAGACCCACAGGGGCTGATCAGCCCTGTCCCCAGAGAGACGCCCCTTCAGTGGCCGAGGTCTGGCCCTGCCAGCGCCACCTTGGCTCAAAGTGTTCTCCTAGTGGATTTCCCTCACCCCCTCCCCACCCCGCCACACACACACATGGAATCTGGAAAGGCTTTGCTCACCTTGAGGATGAGGATGTGGGGGATGTGGGTACATCATGGTATACTTCCTGGCCCAACGCAGGACTGGCTTTTCTTTCTGCACAGGGCCACTAGGTGGGATGTGACATTTGAAAGGCTAGAAGAGTACATAAACCGCAAAACTAAGGGGACAATGATGACCTCAAGGCATGCCTAAGAAATCCCCAAATGTGTTCCAAAAACATCATCTTGCTGCCTCCTGGGTCTGAGAGTTTAATTGGTGTGGAACGTTACGTGTTTTTATCAGGTGCCTCATGTTTATAGGTTTCTGTCTAGTTCAGTGCAGACATTTCAGTAACATTATCCTGAGCCAGTTCTTACTTATTCTTGGTCCAAAGAGCATTTTGTTTTCACATGGATGTGGTGTAGCTTGGTTTTGTTTTGTTTTGTTTTGTTTCATTCATGACCTCAGCGGAGACAGGGAAGAGAAACTATTTTATAATATTAATATAGCCCCTGTTCTCCGCATCTGGGATATTTATGTTGTGTTTGTGGAAATAGGAGCGCAGTGAACACATGTTGCATAGTATGTAATTATAGGTTGAATGGAGGGATTGGAGGGAGGGCGAGAAAAGTTACTATAAAGAAGAGGTTAGGAACAGGAGACTTATATCAGAGAGCTAGCTGGATGCGGTCAGTTCCCTGGGATCTCTGTGCCTTTGGAGTTTTCCGTTTAGAGTCAGGAAAAGTTAAGGTTTCCAAGGTGGCAGTGGCTGATCTCTCAGTTTGTGGTGCAACAAGCCCTGAGGAAGAGGGGCCGTGCTGCCCAAACATCATCTCTGGGAAAGGGCCACCTCTTCTCCAGGGGAGCCAGGTGGGCAGTCAGGAACCATGGCTCCAGGTTCTCCATTTATCAAACTATAGAGTGTCTGATAACTTAGAGTCAAAAGTTCATCTTTCCTCTACCAAAAAGAGAGAGTGAAACACAAATGCAGTGTTATGGGTGGTGTTTCAGGCATCAGGAGCCCTGGGGAATCGTCGGGGGGCTTGTGTCTGTCTGCCCCCAGGTAACCACTCGGGCTGCCGGCCCAAGGACCTGTCCAGAGGCCCGCCCAAGACTGGCCAGGGACGGGAGCTCAGCCAGCGTTCCCTGTGCAGCCTCTCATATAATTACAATGCAGTGTCTTTGCCCAGGGAAGAGAGGAGAGAGAACACACTTTCTAATGCTCCTGCACAAAAATCTTAGTTTTGACAGGTGCCGAAAAAGCCAGTTAGATAAGCTGTCCTAGAAGACTAATGTATTTTAGCCTAAGAGAGAGATTATTTATCTACCACATACCTTCATGTTGATAAAAGTGGCTCCTCCCATCCAGATAGCTCGTTTCTGGAGCTCGGTACCACCGGGCTGATGTGTATTCTTTCCCTTCTCCCCCATTGGATGAAGGACTTTAATCTCCCTTTGGTTTACCAAGGAAGTGGCATCTTAAATGTTAGTAACTCCATTTTTGAAAGTCTCATGGGAAATGGCAGTCAATACCCCTTGATATCCCGCTATGTATCATTATGTATGTAAATATCTGAATACCCCCTGTAATGGGGAAGGCTATATACAGAGCATCCCAAACACGGCCCTGGCAAAAAGCCACTCTGGCCCCTCGGCTGGGACATGCTGGTGATTCAGCTTTGGGGACAGATTCTCAGATTCATCTACCCCTCCGGGTCTGGTGCACCACACACAAGGGTGCACCAGAACCCACTCCGCCTCTGCCTTCTCAGATTCAAACATGTCAGGGAGCCACCTCCAGCCTCAGGTTCCCGAGAGGAAGAAGCCCTGAGAGATGGATGCTTGGAGCCCCTTCCCCTCACCAGATCAGGCCCAGCGGGGCATGGGGCCCATCCTGGGGCTGGACTCCAAGGCCCTACAGACGGCTCTGCTTTGTAAACATCGCCCATCCACGCCGGCCTCAGAGGGTCCCAGAGTAACCTACTACCTCCCCCATTGCTCCTGTCGCCCCCAGACCCCCACCTGCAGGCTGATGAAACCCATCCACCAGCCCTTCTTGGGTCCTTCAACCTAGGGGTGTGGCTGTTACCACTGTTTACAACCAAGGGCCCCTCCCCTTAGCTGTGTTTACTCTCCCACTTACACGAGGCTGCTTGTTGGTTTGAGTCTTTGTTTGTCTGCTCCTTTCCTGGTTTGGCCGACTTGACCACACACACACACGCGCACACACACACACACACACACACACACACACACACGCGCACGCCCCTGAATCTCCATCCCCCCTCCATCAAGGCAGCGCGGGAGGACGGTGGGAAGGAAGTTTCTTGTACATATTCAGCAGCCCCTAGAGTATGAACTTGTACTATTGTTCTGTAAAGAGGGTGAAATAGAGCTTATTGTAAAGCGTTTGGGAGACGTAGAGTATTGTATTTGTAACAATATCGTTCTTTGTATACACAAAACTCAATGATCTCTATATATAAATATAAATAAATATATAAATAAAGTATATATCCACGTGAGCCTGGAATGTGGACGCTGCACACCCACCGAATGTACTTCCTCTGGCAGTCTGGTCACCGGGCGCAGCCCGCCCTCCCCTCCGTAGTGTTTCGGGGATTGTGATGTATTTAACGTTCTCTTTTCTTTATTTAACTGAACGCTAATGTCTGTTAAGAGTTGCCGCAACAATAAACAAGAACTTCACTTCTTGGCCCTGGCTGAGTATCTTACTGTTGCAGGGGTGGGACAGGATGGGACCCAGGCAGGGGACAGATTTTGTCTTTTTCCCCAACAGACCCACCCCCTGCCCATCCTTTGAAGCCTGCTTGGTGCCCAGAGCCCAGGCGTTTTCTAAATGGACATGTTCTGCGGAACCAACTCGGTTTTAAACACGATCGTCTGTATCACCTATTACAGCTAATATTCCAGTCTCGTCGGCCTCCTAAGAGCACACTAATGGGAAAAGGAACCCTCCGGATTTCTCAATGAGGAAAGGGAAACAGGAATTAGTTACCTCCACCCCCTACCCCCCAAAAAAATCTCCAATGAGGGAAGATGGCCTTGGTTAGTGGATAGTGGAAGGGAAGCTGTGCCCTGGGAGAGGCTAACCTGAAGATGACTGAGTTTCTGGAACATTTTTCTGATGCTCCTTGTAATTCCGCTTTTTGAAGCTTGCCAGGCATGACCTCTCTGCTCCCAGGGGCATGCTGGGGACACTGGAACCCCAACGCAGAGCACCCAGCCCTGTTCCTAAAGCAAACTGCCCTTAATGCTTTTTCTCTGCAAACATCACGGCCCGTCTTCCCTGGGAAGCCCACCACAGTCCCTGGGGCTGCTGTTGTAAACGTTTCCAGAGGCCAGGAAGCCTGAGAAAGAGGCCCACAGCTCCAGAATTACATCAAGAGTTTATTAAGGGAACTGACAAAAGCAGAGTCTTGGGTGCCAGCGAGAAGGTAGATTTCCGCACAGAAAGGGGACGGAGGCCTGATATATGTAATCACGTGGCACGGGCTCGTTAAGAGCTGTATAATCAGAGGCAGTGAACAGCATGCCGACCTGCCTAAGCGGAACATCCTTTCCTACCCCTCCTGGCGTGAACTGGCAGTCAGCTTGCTTCATAAGACAGTGACAGTCACGTTAAGCATTGGGAATCATTGTGTCTAACCACCCCTCGTGACTGGCTTTTACAATGTCACATGACCCTCTTTTCCACAATGGTCCCTGAGCCTCTGAGAGGGTGTAGGAACCTAGATATCACTTTTCGTGACACCAGTTGTCCGCATTGTAAACAAAAGTCACAATGTAACGTAAACTCATGCAAGGAAAAAAGAAAGCAATAACGATGATGACAAAAAGAACAAGGAGAGGTCATTTCCATCAGGAGCCCCAAGAACCAAACCAACGTGAGAACAGGTCTCCAGAAGAGCCAACTGAAGCACTTGCCTGCGCACCCAGTAGAAAGAGCAATTGCACGTTTGAGCATATGAATGAGCCCATTGCAGGAAGAGGTTGGTGTTGAGTGCGTCACCTGAAGGCAACAGCATAAAAATCAAGAATTTGGGGGCAAATTAAAAGGGGTTTAGCTGGAACCTGTATGGGAGGTCTTCTCCTTTTCAAATAGCCCTGGTAGCCTGATTTTTTGTGGTCAGAATGGCTGCTGCTGCTGAAAAGGAGGAGCATGCCAGACACGCTGACCTGAGGGACCGGGCACCTGGGCCGCTTGCAGGGTCATTATGGTGTGTGTGTGGGGGATGCCAGATTAGGATTCATATTGGGGTGCCTCTATGTATTTCTTTTGCTACCTGTAATATATACAGTGCCTTTAGAAATCCAGCTTCCAGAACAGGAGACCAAACTTGGGAGGATTGAGGACTCCTCACTCTGTGGCAAAAAATACCCAGCCCGGCCAGCTGGCACCTTCCAACTTAAACCTCAATCAACTGTGCCTTGTCCAGGCAATGGTGACAATGGGGTCCAAAATCGTAGGATTCATTTCCCTGCCATACCTTGGGCATGGTTGCATGAGGCGCCTCCTTCCACACCTGTAAAGCATGAGGGCTTCCCCATCTGTCCCCAATCTGTCATCAGCATAACAGGCCCTGTGGAGTTCGCATTAAGATGAATTAAGGCTGGCTCACGTACCTTCGTCCACCCAGCCAACAAGCCTTTTCCTAACAACAGTCATATCTGTCCTTTCAGCAAAACCATTTTTCGTTTCTGTTGGCCCTGTGGCTTGAGCGTCACATGGTAAACGGAATTTCCATTCAATGTTATTATCTAGCGCCCACTGTTGGATGTCATGTCCTCTGAAATGAGATCCTGGCTTGCTCTCTATGCGAATGGGTATCCATTCACAGTGCTTAATTTGAATAACCCTTTCATAGTTGCCTTTTGATTTGCCTGTCTATAAGGAAAAGCCTGTAACAGACAGTAGCTGTTCCTGCACAGGTGAGAGCATATACTGAGCCTTCGCTTACTAGCGAAGGGGGCAGTATAGTCTATCTGCCAGTCTTTTACTGGGTTGTTTGCTTTATGCATATGCACAGGTTGATGAGGGTGCTTTCTTGCTGGCAATTTGCAGAGCTTCTAAAATGTCACTGTACTTCCTTCATAGGCAAACCTGCTCCCTTGCAATATTCCATCCTACCTTTGCCCCTCAATGTCCACTTTTTTGATGGACCCAGTGGGCTAGATCTTGTGTTGGCACCAAGGTTTTCATCTGGGCCAAAGCATCTCTTCCAAATGACGAAGGGGAGAAACATGAGAATGGGCAGGGACGTGAAGCACAGGGAGACACGCTCCGGGGGCCTGCAATCTGCCCCAAATATCTTTCATAGTTCCTAGCCCCACAAGGGTTTTCCTAATAGAATCCAATCTTTTATTGTTTGAAAAACAGGAGCTGCTTGTATTTTATCTACCACTACCCCAGCATCAGGCGTGTCTTACCCGACCAAATAACACTGAGAACTTTTATGGTGTCCTGGGCCTTGTATCTTTTGTGGACTGATCGCCCATCCTCGGTCTTTGAGGTAATGGCATAAAGAATCAAACAAGAGTTGCCTGTGAGAGGGCGAGATCATCACCTGTTAACATGATATCATCAACACAATGAGCCCATTTTGCAGAGGCCAGGAAGAGAGAGTGCTGGGGGAGAGGAGGCTTCGCTTTTCCCTTCCTCTCTCCCTCTCGGCGTGCCCCCTTTAACGGTGTGGGTGGGGATGGACAGCGATTTGGCAACTTTGGCTGTTGCCCTTGGAAAGGTCACGGGCCTCTCCTTGTCTGAGTCCTTTTGCTAATCCAGTTCATTGACTAGGGGCTCGATATAAACAAATGGTGAGCGACGACCCCCACCCCCAGGCACTGGCGGTTCCTCGTGCCCTCAGCCCCATCCTTCAGATAACCTCAGGCCACAGTTTTCTGAAGTGTATATACTTCTTCAAACTGAGCTGTGTCCCCAGCAAGTCTGCAGCCCACAGTCTCACCAGCCAGCAAGCTCATGAGGTGTCCATCTTCCCCACCCCTCAGAGGGCAAGGCGAGGTGTCCTTGACCTTCTCTCACTTGGCCATGTCGTGAGCCATCTGTCTCCACCAACAACAGCGCTGCACTTCCCACTGGGCCGGTCCCTCGGCCACGTTTAGAAAAGATAGTCACCAGTGCCTCATTTCGTGTAGGGGGACGGCTCGGGCACTCGAACTTCACAAGCAATTCTTGGTTTGGGGTAAGAGAAATACTTTTCTTTCCTTACCTCGTGGGGAGAAGCGAGTAGAGGCTTCCTTACCTGAATTCTGCAGCGTCCCGAATGGCAGCACCCCTCTGTGGTCCTCTTATATCAACAGGATGAGGTGGGAACCAGCTGGTGGTAGAGCCTATTTTTTGGCACCTCTCAGCAAGCCCCCTTGAGATGTGCTGTCCCCTGTGGGAGATGACTGTCCCCTGTCGGTGGCGTCTGCCCCCACAGATGGGTCTCCCCTTAACATAGATAGGGGTGGGGGTAGTGGTAGATGCAGGTGGTTGTAAGAACTCTGGGTGCTACACACACACACTCACTCACTCACTCACTGCATCATGCTCAGTTCACCCTCATCACTTCCTCTGAACTCACACAGCTAAATCACCCCCTTTCATTCAGGGACCGATTTGGCAAGAGCTAGGATTTGGCGCCCTCTGGTGGAATAACATGAGAAATGGCAAATCCAGCTAACCACCTAGAATCCCTCTGATGGTGATTGAGGGAATGAGGACTCTTTGCCACGCATCTCAGGTCCCTTGTTTTCCAGACAAGGAAAATAAAATCTTCCTCGGGTAGGAGTTGCCCGAAGTCACACAGTAAGCAGTCAGTTACAACCTACTCCCCTAGCTCCCAGGCGAACGCCCCTGTGTACCATCCCAGCTGCTGACACACACCAAGGGAGGGGCGGGGCGGAGCGGAGGGAGGGGTCTCAGTTTCCTATTGGCCAGGTTAGTAGCCTGGAGACGGCTGAGCCGGTTGCTGTGGCCTCGGGTGGCCTCCAGCGTCTTTGTGAGAGCTGAGCCGCAGAGCACAGATAACTGCGGGTTCCCCATCCCTTCTGCTAGGCTGGGAGAAAACCATGCCTAGAGGGCTGAGGGAACCATTTCCGGAAGGACTGGCTAATTGCTACCCTGCGCCTCCTTCCCCAGAGACCACACCACATGCTGCTCCTATTGGCAATCTCACCGGCTGCTTATATGACGGCTGTCTTTCCTCGCCACTGAACAGAGTTTCTTATGCGCAGGGACCAAGTTTTTCTCAGCTTTCTAGTCACAGTGGGTTATAATTGGAAGAAGAGTCACAGACAGGGTTTCGAATTATAGCTCTTCTATTATATTAATTATATTCTCACTGTGAGACCCTGGGCAAGTTGCTCAACCACTCAGGAAATACGTCTTCATCTGTAAAATACCGGTAGGCACAGCTTGGCTCTGCATTTAAGATGAGAGAGTCTGCCCTTGAAGTGTGTAGCAAGTGCGGCAGAGGCAGTCATTGCATACCAAGTACAGAACTAGTCCTGGGAGAGAAGCGTCATGGAACTCTTCTCGGAGGAGGGGATGTCTCTGCAGGGTTTTGAAGGTGCTGTAGGAGTTTGCCAGGTGGCATAGCTGGAGAGAACACTCCATGCAGAAGCATAGACGCCTGAAAGGGGATCCACTGATACTGTGGAAGCAAAAAGGGTGTGATGGCTCTCCACTGT